GTGGATGGGTATTCAATTAAAGAATTAAAATCTATTTTTCGGTATATCAACTGTGTGAAATTGAGTTGATAATTTTGACTGAGATGCGGAGAGAAAAAAAGAATCTTGTAATGCCAGAAGATATAAAGTCGACATGAGATATATTCTATCAAAAAGCAAGAGAAGCAGGAAGCTGCTTAATCACTTCGGATGACACTTGTAATCTCTGGTTTATAACCGACAAAAATCACTGGGGATCTTCGTGTATAAGGAAGGAAAGAATTTCACTGAGACATGTAATCATGTGGGATTCCTTTTACAGACGACAGACAGAAAGTGCATATCGAAAATATCATAAATCCGACAAAATGAAGTTTTCGGCAGGGTGAGAGAGGGAGAGAGAGAGAAAAAAGCATTTGTAAATATCAGTCATACTGTGGATTTTTTATTCCTTTGCGGCTTGAGGCGAAAAAACTGATGGAGATCGAAAAATATGTTTTATTTATACTGTTTGCTATCACCAATATTTTTCAGAGTGTATCACACCAGAAAGATGTGTTGGCAATATCCTATCATTTTTATTGCAAAATTGCTCTGTGACATATAGTAGATGTGTTGCACTCTTTATACGAGCTGAAATATACCAAGCGAATGGATAAAGTTCTAGAGACAGAGTCATAAATTCGGTTTTTTCCCCGAACAAGTTATCGCTCCTAAATACGGATAAATTGGTGAGGCGCTGTATTTATTGCGAATGTGTATTTTCCCACCTACCTAAGTGGGGATGGTTTTCAGTGCCACATTTAATACGATAACCTCGTACGAAGGACCCTTTTGTTCACTTTCGCATTTTTTTATTACATGAGTTATACATTTAATACCCTTGGGGAAATGTGATATATATATTTTAATGCAATTTCCAGTCTGTATCACATTGCGAAAGTTAAGAGACTGGCTCGGAAACGTGCGAAAGAGTGCGAGGTGAGATCACGAGGGCAACAAGAGACTCTGGGTGGAATTTTAAAAAGTTAAAGTCAATTTCAAATACGTCAACATCAGGTTAGATCAATCTGTGCGGAAATTACATATTGGTTACGCATGTGTTGCATTAGATTGACGTGACAATTTTCCACTTGTTTTAAGTTTCCGAAGTGTCACAGTGTGTGTACACGATGGTACAGAAGTTTTCCTCCCCCTCGTCTAAAGATGTGTTTACACATTCAACATTTATGGAAATTATTATGGAAAATTTAAGCTTAATAATGCTGTGACCCATTTTGTATGAATATAAATATGAGCCTGCATTAATTGACATGCGACAAACACAATGCGATGTTTCATAGCATATTCTGAAATGACATTTTCCATCTACAATCCCATATTTGGTCAAATTCTAAGGTGCATTTATATGTAAATAAACATAAAACTTGACAAGGTTTTTCTCAGTAGAACTAATAGAGTTTCTTTCTTGAAAAACCTCTGGATGTTGGATAATCATGCTGAATTAAATACACATTTCTATCACTCAGTCTAAAAAGAAGTCATCATTAAAGAGTGTTGTTACTAAAAGTAGATTTAAAGTACTGCATCATTCCCATCGTTATCAACAAGACGGGGAATACATTAAAGAGAAAGTGTCGTGACTCTTTTAGCCCACATGGATGATTTTCCAGAGCGAGTGCAATTTTGTTATTTAGCGGTGTTTTTCACTCCTCCAAGCTGATGGTATATTTACCAACAAATGTTTGTGACACGCAAAGTGCCAGACAGGAGTGTTCTTCTGCCCTGATGTACAATAATAATAATAATAATATGAATTCCAAGCGAAATATTCTCATTACTACACTTGCCATCATCTCTCATCCACCCTGGCAAAAGTGTCTCTCTGCTTTCTATGTGAGCTTTAAGCGAGACTTTAGGTCTTCGTTTTTTATCCACTTTCACCCGAAAATGTTTGCCAAAAGTGTATGCTTATGAGCTTTTACCATATTAAAATTTAACCCGCTTATTGTGGCTCTTTTTGCTGCTTCAACGCTCTTTTTTTGTGTGACTCCTGATTTGTTTAGCGTCAGTCGAGTGTGAGATAAAAAAACCCTTTCTGTGATCACCCTTCAACTCCACTAACAGTCACATTCTTTTGGGTGTATAGGTAGAGTGTTGAAAATTTTATATGGGGATTCAGAGGAGACTTATGGGGTTGGAGGCGCACTCTCTATGTGGTCCATTTTGCCAGGGCGAGATTGATTTTTGGCGCTTGAGTGAAAAGCCAAACAATTGCACGAGGGCAAAAGAGCTTTTATTCTCTGCATACTCCTAAATAAATGTGATGACCGAGGTTGAACATGAAATCATCAATCATATAGTGTGCATTTGATGTATTTTGTGCAGAGATTGTGAATTATTTTGCTCGGCTTTTGTTCTGGTTTTCAATAAATAGATTTTTGATGAAAAATCTATTTGAGAGCACCTGCAGAAGCATCATAAATGTTGTATAGAACATGATACGTAATTTATGCTATAAAATGTATTGTGTTAACGGTATGATGTGTAGTCTAATCATAGATGTTTGGAATACGTTAAAGTGTGTTGAGGAAATGTGGTTTTCATATAATTTGTATGCATTTGTAAATATGCAAATTATCTATAAAAGTTAAGATGTGGTGTAAATTTTCTCAACTTTATCCCTATTTGTTCATCCTTCATTTAAAATTTAATTCATATGCAAATGCGGGGGTAACTTTTCTTTTATACTCGAAGGAGAGGCCATAATTTTTCCAGCGGCTTTTCGCCCTCAAGTAGGTGCTCATTCTGAAAACCAACCCCACTAATATGCGCTTTATTATATTTGTTGAGTACAAAGCACTCAAATAGATATGGTGTCATGTTGCCAAGTGAAAATGTGTATATGACTTTTGGGGTTGTAACTCGTATTTTATGTTGTTGGAGATGCTGGGGTAGTCTCATATGCGTTAGTTTTGGTGTAGCCATAGTTCTTGGGCGAAATAATACTGGGTGTGAGAGAAAGAGAGAGAAATGGAGAAAACTTGAAATTGCTTTTCATATGTATAATACATATTATAGCAAGTATTCTAACTATGTATGTACATGAATGGATTTCTCATAAAATTTGGCGAAATGAAAGTCTTCAAAAAGTAAGAAGATAAGAAAATGTGTTTAAAGTTTTATTATATTTGCTATTCATATTGAGATGAGAATTTAATATTGAAATAGATTTGGTGTCTTCTCCCAGATAAATTACATTGCAAAACACTGGGTATTGCGAATTATTTTGTCTCACAGCGCATGCAATATTAACGCTGGGTGAATGAAAATTTGACCCCAGAGATGAAATTGGTATTTTCATTCAATCTGACTTAAGCGTATGCAATGAAATTTAAAAGTTAATGAAACTAAATAGAATAGTTAAGCTGTGACTGAGCGTAAGATTTTATGTGCAGATACAAATGCCAAGTGAAACCCGGTGAACCATCATAACTGGACTAAATTTGTATGTAATGCTTTTTGATTTGGTCCTTATGTACAATGAGCACGGAGCATGGCGTGCAATACAAGTGGGAAAGCGTATTTGGTATTCAATTTGGGAGGAAAATCTGAAGAAATTGAATTTTTCTCTCTCTCTCTCGCTAGCTAAATGAGTGTCATTGGTTTTATTTCTAGTTTCGTTTTGTCTCTATGGGTCTGATGTGCAAAAATATTCCCAGTTCTCTGATGAAATGAATTTATGCAAATTAAGTCGTGATTGTTATTAGAGAAGCATGGAATCTTGGTGTCTCTGCTTCTATCTTTCTTGTACATTCCGCAGTTACACTATGTGGAGGATTCTGCAAAAAAATGGTGAAATTTGCATAAATAAAGGGCATGGAAATGGGTTTCTGTGTTCCATGTCAATGGTACTCAATTACTATTTGTTTATTTAGCTGAAATTGCGAGAAGCTCGCGATGGGTTGATGAGACCTTTCCTTTTTCTCAAAAGTTCAAACTTGTTTATTTAATTATGTCAATTTTCTCCTAATGAATTAAAATTAAAGGTCCATCCACGGATGCTTGTCAGTGGAGAAATATGTAAATTTCTGTTGAATTTTAAGATGCCCTCAGAATGGGAGGTATATCCTCGAGTTAACAAGTTTACCGACAGGTTGTCTTGAAAAAGAGAAAAACCACTTTTAATTTTGAGGTGATGAAGGGCGTGAAATTTGAAATTGTCTGTTTTCTCTTCACCTCTTCTTGTGTGTGTAGTATATATGGGCTCGAGGGTGAAGTAAAAAATCAATTTTGTGCTGTGTAAAGTTTACTAAGGAGAAAATGTTTGAAATCTCATAATATGCCACCAACACTTATCTCTGTGACGTTCACGAGAGAGTAGAGAGAGAGAGTTGGAAATAAAGAATAAGTGTTGGGCACGGAATGCTGTATAACTATCAAAAGAAAACTTCGTCTTCTGCCATGGCAATCATAGAACAACCGTGAAGAATCATCCCATCAAGAATTCCCCCAGAGTTCCGTGAAACATGGAATTTCTATTTTCCGTACAAATTTCTTAAGTTTTTTGCAAATAGGTATTCGCGCATTTCCTCTATATGTACACAGGACACAAAATATTCATGCCGCATGAATATTTTGTGATTCTTCGTCTGTTGTGCCATTTCTCCCAGAGACATAATTTAATGTTGCTATAAAAAGATGAAGAGTGACAAAAAAGTTTTATGTAATAAACATTATGATAAGTAAATGCAGCAACAAAATTATGTATATAATACATAAAGTTATGCCTATAAATAAGGATTACGCAGCCTTGTCCCTTCACTTGTGAATCAATATCCTGCGAGTGTTATGATTGTAATTTGTAGATGGGCAGCACACAAAAAAAACGGGGATGAAGCATGATGTTTAGAGAGGGTTTTCCGGAACATTTTACTGTTTGACCCAATTTCTGAGATGATGTGCAGCAAAAAGTGAGGCCTGATTTTAATTAATTGTTGTTCTTTCTTCCTTATTTTCAGATATTTAACGATCACTATCACTTTCACCACAACACGGTACAAAAACGGTCAATAAGTCCGTCGCACCACCATCAGGGACGGCTCGACGGTGACCACAGAGTGCGATGGGCTGTGCAACAAAAAGCAAAATCACGACAAAAACGGGATCTAATTAGGATACGACCGAGCAGGACTTTTAGTGTTCAACTTAATGATCCCAAGTGGCCTCATATGTGGTATTTGGTGAGTTGATTAATGCTCCAAACTGGCAGCGCCGACCAATTTACATATCATACATCACACTGAGCCGCGCGTCTTTATTCTTTTACACACAAAAGCTCAACTCACTATTAATAAATTACCCATTTTAGTTTATTTAGATTAATTTCCGTGGACGTTTTATGCTAACGTATCATTTATGTTGGAAATTTTCTGTGGTTGCCACGCCGTTAATGTGCGGGGGGGCTTTTAAATAACCTCAGCGCTTGCCTCAGAGATTGATTAAACCTCAGTGAAGATGGAATTTTGAATGTAATTTTGTGGGGAGGTTTAAATAATTACAAGCCTTCTAACTCAATTACTGACAGGGAATTTTTTTTATATAATTAAGATTTCACTCATATAAGTAATATATCTAACACTGTTTTGCTTCTTATTCAGAGGTACTTTCGGGGAAAATTACATTCCGTAACTACGTGAAGAATTTCGCTGCAACATAAGTTATTTCTTAGAGTTATTTGCCTACAGAATGGTAATCATGCTTGCCAAAGGAATGTTCCGCAAAATATGAGGCAAAAGTGCAAAAAGGCACTACAATAGCGAATGGCAAACTGGGGAATAAAGCGTGATGGTCTATTTAAATTAATCATACCGAAAGAATGTTTATAGTGCTTTGTAATAAGGACAGAACTGTAATTTTCTTTGGTCTCTCCGCGACAGATTCATCTTGTGTGACCCTCATAGTGTGATGATCGATGCTTGTCATGAAGAGTAATGATAATAAATCACACATAATAAATTCTTAAAAATGTCTCAGTGTAGCACAAAGCGCTGACTTGTAATTTATAGTAAAATTTTTTTTTGATTAACATCATCGAGTAATGTAATTTTTATTACTCAATTTTCTCGTCAGAACTATTATGGGACGTTGCAGGAATTCCATTACGTGGAGCTATTATGGGAATTTGTTCAAGTTCACCCACACACACACACACATTATCAGTGAAACTTTATAAAGCACACTTATAACTTTTTAATGAGTTCAATTTATGATTATTTCCTGTATCATTATACGCCATTTACCATGATGAGTATTTCTAGAACGTGAAAATTTTCTTCCCTTTTAACTGGCAGAATCGAGGCAATGGACTGGATATGAACGTGATACCGGCATGGAAGGAGGGCATCACGGGGAGAGGAATTGTTGTCACAATCCTCGATGATGGACTGGAATCTGATCATCCAGATTTGGAGCGAAACTACGTGAGTTTACTTACCTCATCATTACACATGCACAATTTTGCTAAGTCGCACAAGCACACACTTTCAAGTGCAAAATGTTGAATCTTCACATCTCCCCCAAAAATGTTTATAAAGTGCACACAAATAGAGTGAATATTCAACAAACTCGACAAATCATATGAAAACGGATACGGTTGAGGAGCTGGTGCTGTATGCATTTCAGTATGTTTGGGTAGACGCTCAAAGGGAGTGTGTGAGAAAAGTGCTGACTTTGAAATTCCAATAATAGCTGTTACATAGAAATAGATACCATGATTTGTTGATATCGTGTGGAAAGGTACTTCCTCTCACCATACAAAAGCCGCGTGGTGATGAGCAGAAAAAGAGGCGAAAAGTCTGCCAAAAGTAGATGAAGAAAATGTGTGTTTCCTTTGTCCATTTCTTTTTCTTTCTTCCACTTTTTTTTCTTGACATTCATCATTGCGGTGTGTCGAAGTTTATCTGATATTGAAGTGTTACGGGGTCAGTCAATCAATAATATGACTTATGAACTTTGTGCGGTAGCGTTTGCGGGTGAAAAGGGGGGAAAAAAGCTTCGCGAACTGAATAGGAAAAAAATAACCGCAAAATGATGAACGAGAAATTTATGCATATGTGTAGCAGTGTTGTGAAAAATTGCCAGCGAATTGTGTTTGGCCTTTTGAGAATGCGTATGGTTGAGGTGTTGTGACGAGATGGGAATTCAGGAATATATGTATATGTTTTTTCTGCCCTGTGATGCGTTTGAGGAAATGAAAATGCGATTTGCAATGGTAATTTATACCCATGATGGCATATTCGATTCTGTTTGCCATGCACTTGTTTCCTGGACATGTGTTGACCTCCATCAGGCACATGTTGCCAATGGCAATTCCACCATTTGAAAAGCTATAAACACCGAATTTTCACATACAATTAATTGCCAAGTGTTTGGGAGGAAGGAAAAGCCTTCACTTAATTGGATCCAAATTACTTTTTAATGACTCACAAGAATTGTACAGTATCAATTCCACACTCTCTTGGTTTGGGGGGATTTTGTTGGGAACTATATGGGGAAATTTTTTCATTTGGCTTCTTTGCTCCGCCTTCCCTTTTATTATTTCTCCTAGAATGTCCATTTATCCATAGTGATTTTTTTTTTCCATTTAATGGTTGTCTGTTTATTCACTGGGAGGGAAATTTATTAGCTACTCTTTGGGAGAAAAATAAGCATTTTCTATTATTTTAGCTTTGAAGGCGAATTCATTATCATCATTGCTATTTTTCTCCATAATATGTACTTCGAATTCAGTGATATAAAAATACAATAATAAGGAGAAGTCTCGTCTATTGAATTTGAGAGTGTACAGATAGAATAATTTCTATATAAATTGCAATGATTCATTTTCTTGGTACACAATTTTCGATGGGAGAAGAAAGAAAAAATATGTTCTTCTCTTGTTATTTGTTTACACACACTTTTCTTCGAAGTATTTATCCAATTGAATGGTCAGAGATTTTGAGATAAACATGACAAAATCCCGTATAGCCAAATATAAAATATAAATAAGGTAAAAATAGTTCTCACTCTCATTTTTTCCTGTGTTCTTTCTTTAGGGGGCGAATTGCCTCTTTACCCACTTGCCTTTTATGCTTTCGGGAAATAAATACCCAACCTCTTGTGTGTATGTTTGTATACACATCGGTCTGTCTTTCAGGCCACAACGCAAGAAGTTCAACGGAAGACTCTTCTCCTAATTTAATTTTGCATGTAAAGTACAAAGATTGTGGTTCTACTGACTTTGTTTAGAGGAAAATAAATATGGTGTAGGAAGCAGCTGTGCAAATTAGGTGCCACTGACATACGAGTGCTGTTAAAGCATGCGATGACTCTTCTATCTGTCGTGCGAGTTCCTCTTGGACCTCTTTTTTCCCGACACTATATAGCGTAGTAAAGAGGATTGAGTCTGATGGGAAGGGAAAAAAGTTGAGTGATATTTTATCTCACGGCGAATCTCCGTGCGATTGCGGGAAAATTAAAATTTACGGAGAACTTTGTGGCGCGCAACTGTGAAGTACAATAATCTGAGCTTACTCTGCCTTCGGGGAAAATGTTATCGATGTTGAAAAGCCACTTAAGAGACATCGAGGCGGTGTTAGCTTCGTTGATTTGATTCCTAATTAGGTTCTCAAAATAAGTTTAATACAGATATATTCTGTGGAGGATTTCCAAATGCTGACCTAATTTTTAGGCTCATTTCGCAAAAATTGTTCCGCTGAATAGATATTAATTTAAGTGCTGAAATAATTTACGCGAGTCGAATTGGCAATGAAATCTCAAGTCATTAGATGAAAAAGAGCAGCAGAAATTAATTTCACGCCAAGGCTTTGCCTTAAAGTATCTCTTTTGCATATAAATCTCCGGTGGGAAATCTTGCCATTAAGCATGGTCTGGAGAGGAGGCTGAAGAAAAGAATATTTATTAACCATTCTGCTAAATTTACTTCCAACCATAAGTAATAAATGTTTTCTAATGCTTATTGCCAATGAAAATTCATTAAAAATGTTTCCACAAATTGGAGCGCTGTATTTTATTTGCAATTTTCATTGTGGTGAACCATGAAAAGTGATGCTGAGACGCACGTGATTAAAACTTTTTTGACGAGAAAAAAAACAAAACACAATGGGTCAGTTTGACCTTTTGTGTTGAGTCTCATGGACTTGATCTTGTTGCAACACTGCGGGATTTGCTCTTTGGCCACTTATGAGAGGCAGAGCGGAGTAAGGTCGAACTTTCAGGCATGATTTTGGGGATTTGTTTGTGATGTGAATCTAGCGGACGAGAGAACAGAACAACTTTAACCTTTATGTGTCAGTAATATTGTCACAACCAACTCTGTCCCAGTTTAAATTGCAGCAGAAAGAAGGAAGAAATTTGCTGTGCGCTTTAATGAGTTTCCATTGCAGTGTAACAAGAAACTTTTCTCTGGACATTTCATTATACCTCTTGAACAACTTGTGCCATTTATTTGCACGTTACTTGCGAAAGGCAAGAAATATGCTGATCGCAAAGTATCAAATTTTGTGGATTTGCCAACAATTCACTGATATAATTTGGTCATGGTTTTCTTCCTCTAACTATCTCACAAACAAGCACATTTCTCAGGCACCGAAACAGATGAATATCGAGTAACGTTACGGGGGTTATGTTGTGTAAGGATTGATATTATTCGCCCTGAATGGCTCAATTGTATTGCTTCTCCCTTATTCCATCTTTGAAAAGCTTTGAAAATGGAATGGCAAGAATGATGGAAGAATATAAGAATGCCAGAGTATGGAAGAATTGCATTTTACTGTTGTGCTTTTCCTCTGCATCGCAAAATGGGGGAAAAGCGCATTTTGAAATCCGCTCTTTTCTCTGGCTGCAAAAATTCACAGTATTTCCTATTTTCTCCGTATACTTTTTCCAGGACCCGCAGGCGTCGTATGATGTCAACAGTCATGATGACGATCCCATGCCACACTACGACATCTCGGATTCAAATAGGCATGGCACGCGGTGTGCCGGTGAAGTGGCAGCCACGGCAAACAATTCCCTCTGTGCTGTGGGGATTGCCTTTGGGGCGAGTGTGGGTGGTGTTCGGATGCTGGATGGTGACGTGACAGACGCGGTGGAGGCGCGATCGCTCAGCCTCAATCCGCAGCACATTGATATCTACAGCGCCTCGTGGGGGCCTGATGATGATGGTAAGACTGTGGATGGACCTGGTGAGCTGGCGACGAGAGCCTTCATCGAGGGCGTGAAGTATGGGCGCGGCGGCAAGGGCAGCATATTCATTTGGGCGTCGGGAAATGGTGGCCGCGAACATGACAACTGCAACTGCGACGGATACACGAACAGTATCTGGACGCTGTCCATATCCAGTGCCACAGAGGAGGGCGCCGTGCCATGGTACTCGGAGATGTGCAGCTCCACACTCGCGACAACATACAGCAGTGGTGGACAGGGAGAGAAGCAAATCGTCACGACGGATCTCCATCACAGCTGCACTACTTCTCACACTGGCACCTCAGCATCCGCTCCCTTGGCAGCTGGAATAGTGGCGCTGGTCCTCGAGGCGAACTCAAATCTCACGTGGCGGGACTTGCAGCATATAGGTAATGCTATACACATCAACCACTCCTGTTGCAGTGCATTTGTGCAGCGTCTCTGCACAGCAATCTATCGTGACGTGGGAGAGTAAATTGGGGGGATGCTGTGTAATTGTGGGTGGAAAAGTGATTTAGGCTTTGGGAAACGCGCAGTGAAATGATGAAAATTTCCCAATATCATCAATTTAGTTTGGAATTGCTGAAACAACGTGCATTGCAGGGAACTAATGAGAGTCGGACACTGATGAAATAATTGCTGGTTTCATTACATTTTTCGAGTGGTCCAAAGTGGCTCATCAGTCTTGTCATTAGATGAGATTTATTACAGTTCACTTAGTGTCAGATAAAATTGATCGTAATTCATTTTAAATTTTTCATCTTTGTGCCTTTTTCACCAAAGTTTACATTCCATGAAGGCATAAATGGAGTCTTTTACACGCTTGAAATGGATCTAAGACATGTTTTTTGTTCAGAGGCTTCTGAAATGTCTTAAAGAATTTTCAGAAGTTTTAGATTACAAAGGATATTGCAGAGTTAAAGATATATCTTAGAAGAATGCTAAGCTGTTAATGACTTTCTGTATTTTGAAATTTGAACGCACAAGCAGTCGAGAAAGTTCCCACAAACTTCTTAATACCAAATGTCGGATGGAATATTTAGTCTAAAACTTTAGTTGAATCTTTAAATTGAAAAAAATCCCTCTCAATACTATATTGAATTTATGTGAAAATTTCAATTCCTCAGGCGTTGTTTTTGCAAATTAATGAATTTCTTTTGTGTTTATTATTTCCCTCTACAACCCTGCGAACTCACTCAATTCGGCAACAGTGGTGAGAACGGCGAAACCTGGCAATCTCAATGATCCGACATGGGGGCGGAATGGTGTTGGCAGGCGAGTGAGTCACTCTTTCGGCTATGGGCTCATGGATGCTGCTGGAATGGTGAAATTGGCGCGCACATGGAAGACAGTTCCCGAGCAGCAATTGTGCGAAATCAATGCTCCGCCACTTGATAGGTAATGAATTTGTCCTACACTTGAGGGGATTCTTTCTCCGATGGAGTTGATAATTTCAGTTGTGATGTTGTTGAAATGGATGTTGGAAGGTGAATTCAAAGTTAATATCACTACATTTTCCAATTACGCGACAAGTCACGTTGCATTGTTGACTTTTCGACTGCACCTTAAGCACGATATGGTGTGCAAATGACGGGCGAGACAAGTGTGAACTAGATGAAAATACTTTTGCATGATGAAGAGTTATGTGAATTTTTTTTTTAAATTTTTTTATTCCAGAGTTATTCCACCCAAGGGCCAAATAACGCTCACCCTCACCGTGGAACATTGCATGGGTGTTAACTATTTGGAACACGTCCAAGCTAAGATAACATTAACGTCCCAACGGCGGGGAGACATACAAATCTACTTGACGTCTCCGGCTGGAACCAGAGTCACCCTCCTAACGTCGAGGTATGCGATATTATAATAATAATGTGTCTGGGAATCCACCATTATCTCATTCTACTGAGCTTAATCATGGATTAATTGGCCTCTTAATATTAATTTTGTCGGAATTTCACACATGCCACTCGAGATTCCGTCTTACACCCTGTCTCAGGGTGGGTACAATGACCCACCATTGTGGGCCGCTTTATGGGCTCAGCTCAGGGGCACATTAGTTTTATTGCAACCCCAAAAAAGCACCACAAGTTGTGATATCTACTTTGCCGAAAATTATATTCCCACCTCGTGGTTGTTGAGAATGATAATAGTGCAAAGTTTATAATGTGGTGTCAAGACTTATTCAGCGAAAAAGTTTTTGGCATTAGCCAAGGGAAGGTACATTTAGTCACAAGTGCCATAAGCGTGAGAGACACAGAAGGTGCTTTATGAGCGTGCCTGGGTGTGTGTGTGTGTGGTGAATTTATGGACCACAGAGAGAGGTTGTCTTTTATCAATTATGGAAATCATTTAGTATGACACTGATTTACCGTATTAGACAGGGTATTAGAGTGAATTTAATTCAATAACCTCCTCATCATGTCACAGAGACAAAGACCTTTGGGCTATAAATTCGCATAATAGAGTTAAGAAAAAGTAAAATCTGTGTGAAATTCGTGTGATTAGCCTCTCTCTGTTCAATGTGGCAGTTATTCGGACTTCTTTTCGGGTTTTTTTTTCTTTGTATACATTTTGTACACTTTAAATTTTGTTACAGAAGTTTGTTTGAGTTATTTACCCAATGATATCTTCAAGCTAAACTTTTCTGACTAAAAGATTCTGTCTGGTGTGTGGCATGAGTATAAGATGGTGTGAGAAAATACAGTGTGAAGATGAAAGGGAAGAATGTGTCTGAAGAATTTTCACAATATTTTGTCCGTATGTTTTGCATTGGAGTTGAATTCTAACAATACAATATGTTTTCTACCTTTTGTCAGAATTCACGATGTCTCTCGGGCAGGATTTTCACTATGGCCATTTATGTCAGTGCACACATGGGGTGAGGCTCCACATGGAAATTGGCAGCTCGAAATACGAAATGAGGGAAGATATATGGGTAAGTTGTGATGTATAAATTCAATGGGAATTTCATTCCATTTCCCTGCAAGGTACCTTCACCCAAAATCCCCTCCAAAGCTTACACTACAATGGGTATTTTCAGTCAAAGAATCATCCTTTATGTGAGAAATGAAGAGGTGAAATCCTGTTGGAGAAATATGGGATATTTTTTTCTCCTTTGATGTTACACACATATTGTGTGATGTGATCAATGAAGTGAATTAAAATATATCGTCTGGTGAGAGATATTGAGGCAATTAACCCAATTAATATCTTGTTCTCTATCACATGCTAATCAACACACACAGGACATGCTGCCCTCAAAGGATGGTCTCTAATATTTTATGGCACGAAAACCCCAATAGATAAAAATGACCCAATATCTGTACGACCTTCTCCGCATTCCACGGTATCTCTCAATAATTATCCGCCCATAAATGGTGTATCGAAGCAGGGGGGGAGCAATAAAAATAACAGCCGGAAGCAGCAAGGTGGTGGAAATGTGTCGGCCACGCGAAAGAATGGCAAGGGATCGAAAAATGCCGGAAAGGGCAGTGGCAAAAATAATCGCACCACAACGCCTCGACCCAATTTCACGACGCTCTTTGGGCGGCGTAAGGAGACAAAGAGGCCGGATTTCGGGTACACCCTCATTGCGCGACAGCCGACAACGACGCGGCCGAAGTTGCAGCAAACTGTGCAAGGGCAGCAGGCGAGCAATGTGCTGGCGAAGAAGGGGGAAAAGTTGCTGGGATCTCTGTCGACGATTCAGGATAAAGTGGCAGTGAAGGCACCGAAGCAAGTTAAGGAGAATCTGTTTGGTAATTCGTCGCTGATTGAATTGGTGCCCACCATTCATCCGCGAATACCGAATGTATTCCAGAAGTATCAGAAGGTGCAGAAAATCTATCCTGAACTCCATCCCTACACGGGTCCCAATGTCACGCCAAAGTACACGCCCTACCAATCAGGCATCCCGGTCGGATACAGCGGTGGCGGTGGAAAGCCATCTCGGGAGAATTCGAAAATTATATTCTTCCCGGATCCCGATTTTGTAGCAGCTGGATCGCAACAGCGTCAGCCACCAAAGAGCTCTTCCGGTGGTGCTCCTTCGTCTTCCGCGATACGACCACAATATATGGATGTAGCTTCTGTGCAGCGAAATGGAAAGGGTACATCACAGATTTATGAAGAAACTAGTGTTCGCTTTGCGTTGCTATTATTGCATTCCGCCCTATGTTTTTCCACACATTTTCACCCCTACGATTCCTTTTTCTATTTTTACTCCGTGCACACACACACACACACACACGTGCCACACGGAGGGTTGAACCTGATGTGTCTGCATTTCGTGAGAGAGATTTGTTACATCTGGAGCGACCCTTGTTGTGTGTTCCACGTCAATTCTTTTCAGTATTTTGTGTGCATTTCCTCCTCTATTTTGGTTTTCTCCTCAAACACATCACGTTGTGTTCCCAGCAGTGCCTTTTTCCCTGACTCCCACTGCCAACGCCCCAAAAAGTGGGAACATCCTCCCCCGATGAAAAAGCGCACAATATGAGATATTGCCACGCTTCTTTTCTCAATTTTCTTTTGCCCATGAATGGAAAATTTTCCTCTTGATTTGCATCGTACAGATATATATGTGTATTTTTTTCCTTTATCTCCCCCGAAGCGGATCTTTTGTGGTTATTTAATGATTTGATAGGTACATATCTTCCGTTCAATTTATTTTAATTGCATTCACTTCTCATCTCACGTCATTTATTTTAATAGCTTCTCTCTAGATTAATTGATGTTTGATTGGCGATTTCATAATATTCCTCTGTTGATTCTCAATTTCAATTTAGGGGACAATTATAATTGTAGAAATGCTGATAGATAATTTGTATATTGAGCATTTGGGATTGTTTTTTAAATTGTGGCACATGAAAAATTGAATGATATCTGTTTTTATGCGTCATTATTGGTATTATTTCGAACAACAGAGTATTTAATTTCAATCGTTCAATGGGGAGCAACAGTGAAAACGACCCCCGAACACATTAAAATACACTGGAATGGACAGAGAAAAATCATTGTGGAGATGTGCGACTGGGTGCTCCCCGTCGAACAGCATGACTACATGATACTTCTTGTGGTATAGAATGTAAAATTGAATTAATTGGATATTCTACCAAACATAATTAATGTTATGTACGCATGAAAGTTTCTCTGTGGGAAAATCGTAATTAAAATTCACAATCGACTACCATCTGCCAATGTTGAAAATGTTATCGCCGATATGAGAGCGAATGGTGTAGGGGCAACGCCAGGGAGATTTTAAAGCTAATTAGTTTCAATGATGATCAGAAGCGAAGTGGAGAGGAAGTGGAGTGTGATTTGGGCATTTTGTGCCAAACACTAACAATTCATCCATGGAAATGTCATAAAACAATTTATTGCATTCTAAACCCAGTAATATCCGGCTATTGGATCTATTCAATGAAAGGTTAATAAAGCACGCGTAATATGTGAGGTGAATTGTATGTATTGAATGCTACAAATCAATTACACCTAATGCATTTGACATGAGACATGCCCTGCAGAAGAAAAAAATCGATGACATTTGCAATTTGATTTGCAAATACCAAATCCATAATGGCAAATCTTTCCTAATTTTGCCACAAAGCTTTATGCAGAAATGATAATTAATTCATGCTGTACAAAAGAGGTGTCATGGGAAAATGTGAGATGGTCTGTAATGACCTCATTTATACGTGATTTTACACCATAATGCTCGAACCCTCGAAGGCCCATCACGATTGCATATCAATATAATATTTCTCCTCAACATTGCAGCACAAATTACGGATTGGCGATTATTATTCTATGGTACAGCACTTCCGCCCCAGCCTAATGATCCGCCTCGCTTCGGGAAACCCGGCCAGCTGAGTCCAGATTTAGACCACAATTCACTGGAATTCGAGGGAGAGCGCGCCAGCGGGCAGTGGAGGGAAACCCATCAGGTAAATTATTCATTTCAATCTCCTGCACTCCCTCTGGTTCTGTGTTAATCTAAATTCATTTGCAAGAGTTGTAACGGAAAACTGTCGTGAAGCATTTAAGTACATTTACTCACTTTAATTACTGTGAAATTTCTCGTATTTTATTTTTTATTTGAAAAAGCTCAAAAACTCCTGCAAATTATCTATAATGAAAGTTTTATTTAATTTTCTGTATATTTTTATTTCCTGTAAATTTTAATATTCAACATATCTGTATGAAGAGAATAAAATTTTATTAATATTTTGACTTTAACATCCTTTTTAGTGTATTGAATATTTCATTTGCACTCCTGAGGCTAAAAAAGAATTTGTTTTTCCAACATGTGAAATAGTAATAAAAGTTCAAATTAATTTAAAGTCCACAAATCAAATATTTAGGTTAATATAATTATGGCGAATGTGAATAATTGATGTGAATACAGTGAAATTCAATACAAAACGTATTGATTTGTGTTGTTCATGAGTAAATATTTTTTTTCTACAGTTAATTGAATATTCAGTAAATTACATTATGCAGAGCTAAATATTTTCAATTCAGTTGTTGCATAAAGTGGACACTAATTATTGCCTCTGTTGATTTGTTTGCAGGTCGGCGAGAGTCATGTGGATGTGCAGAAGACGGCATCTGGTGAGGTTGTCGATCACGCCTGCCTCAGCTACACACCTGATAAGAAATGCCTAGGTTTGTGTCTCTTCCTCATAATTTCAAGCTATTTTATCCACATGCTATCGATGAATTCTACGAGTAATTGCGCAAAAAGTGATAATACGTTAAATAGCGAGGTAATACGCGACGTTTCACCACAGACCGAGCGACTAGATAGGAAAATTATGAGAAGAGCGTTGTGCTATGATCACAATATTACCAACTGTGAATGTAATGTTAATGATAATACCATTAGTAGACCAAATAGTCAAATTTTAAGTGATACAAGATCGAATGCATTTATTCATGCAAGTTCGATAAGGCTTTAACTTTTATTGATTGTATTATATTTATTTTTTATTATTGGACAAAAAAATGGAGAATCTTTTATTGTATAAAAAAAACGCGGGTTACTTTCTAATTATGTACATATAGTGGATGTATAGTGAAACATGGGAGAGATGCATCTATCTACAACTATTTGAAAACGAATGCAGGTTGCTGAAAAAACACGTATCGAGGGCACACGTCGAAGGGTGGTTGGAAAAGCCAATGTTGTTTTTGCCGAGGGGAGGCAGATAAACAAATGTGTAGAATAATTTGGTATGCATACATTTTTGCGTTGAAAGAATGGAATTATAATTCTATGTATCAGATAGAAATATTTGGTTTATTTTAAAGATTTATTCTCACTGGTGGTTTTTGAAACCATTTCATTTGGCTTCACAGAATTTGCATTAAAGGGTAAAAAGAGGAATATGAAACAAGAAAAAAATATGAACGGAGATGCAAATAACTCTAAAATCACTTCAGTTTGAATTCCAATGAATAAAGCAGAATAATAACTTTAAAATAGCACGGAGTGGTTTGAAAATTTGATCGTGGTTGCACATGAAAATATTTGTGCGGATGGTTTTTTTGAAAATATTTTGGTGGTTTTTGAACAACACATTTCTGATATAAACATCATATTCCATCTCTATTCTCTAGAAAGGTAAAATATTTCGGAAAATTCAAATTGCCATTATGAGCTATATAGTGGTTGTTGTGTCTAATTTTACAGCTGAAAGCGTTATGAGCATAAAAAGCGCACACACAGAGGAAAGCAATTAAATTTTTTTTGTTCTGAGAATATATCTGTGCCAAAAAACAACACAAGTCAAGAGAGAAATGGAGAAAATTCCTTTTCACTGGGGGGAATATCATGCACATTCCTCATGAATGTGTGACATTAACTGATAATTGATAATAAATGTGTATAGGATAAATCGTGGGCAAAAACGATGAGAGGAGATTCCTTGAATTGGAGGATAGCGTTTGTGGGTCGGAAGCACGATGCGCAGAAGGGGACGATGTAACAAATGAAAACGGACGATAAGAAGAATCCAATTAATGAGAGATATAATGCGAGAAAATGGATAAATTATGTGTGTGTGTGTATTCGGGGATTACATGGCCGGGCGAGGAGAGTTGAGATGGACATGTTAGGGAAGGAAAATTGAATTCCCATCAAGTGCAATTACAAGTGTCTGACGTTGCCAAAATTTATGATAAATTTATAAATAACAGTAGGAAGACGTGGTAAGCGAAAAAGGGAGGAAATAATTTATAAATGAAACTTATGGCGGTGGTGCCTGTCTTGCAATTAATATTGAATTTATCCTTTTTGTCTTCTAATTAACAATCCTACTCCTTCACTCAAATTTTGCATACTAATAAAGTATGTTGTAGCGTCTCTCCATTCGTCAAGAGACCCATTTTAGACATTAACCCCATACAAATATTAATTATACGATCCGGGAAGTGTGAGTGTGTGTTTAGAAGCATTTCAAATTTCGAGGGATGTATCGTCTCTTTATCAGCAGTATTATTGTATGTATAGCTATGTATATGATGTACAATTAACTCCAATATAAATAGCATTTTAGGAATTACAGCAAGCGTTCTCATCTCGAAAGGCGTTGTATATATTTTGGAAGTTAATTTGAAGAGCTTCCTCGACGTGTTACACTAATTTCTAATGCCCTCAAAGCACACCATTCGGAAAGTAGCACTTTCCCCCCAACTTCTTTTTCCAATATCCTCAATCGTTTGCCATCCACTCAGCTGATGCGACGGTAACCACACACAGAAAGTTATGCCACGAGAGTGGGAAAGTGTAGCAGGAAAGCGATAACAAAATCAATACATTGGATGTTAACTTTGTAAATGACTTCAGTGACACAAGGACACTGTTGATTATCTCTTTTTATCTCACATTTTTGTGGCCTAAACTGACGACTCTTTGAGTGGGAGAATGCTTTTATTGTACGACTTTACTTTCTCTCTATCTCGTTGCTTATAGTCGGGAAAAATGATCAAATGGCGTAAATAGGAAATTTCTGAGAGGGGAGGAAATATTGACAAAAATGTGAGCTATGGCTCCAATATATCTAGTCAACATTTCACAAATATTTACCACAGACTCTTGATGAAAAAGTCTTCTTCTCCCAGGACATTTCACCAGGGACTTTTTATTATTATTATTATTATTCTCATGATAAAGCCAGAAGCGGAAAAATTGCTCTGTGTTTTTAATTATAGTAATTTCTGTATTTTTTCCATGGCAAAAATTCTTCGTATTTTTTATTCACAGCACAATTCATGACATGTCAATTGCAATGTGTACTTGAAATTAAATACAGAATGTGATGCTGATTGTTGAGAAATGGTGTGGAATGCGCAGAGTGTTGATGTGAATTGCATATTCAACATTTGATACAAATATTTGGCAATAACAAACGAATAAATGTACATTTTGTCAGCGGTCTAGTGTGTCAAATGCTCCTTTTGAATTAATCAGATACACGTCCTGCCCTGTTCATTTTGCAACTGTACATACATATAGCCTTAAATGTTTGAGTTTGTCTCCTTTGTCCCAAATTCTGGGAGAATGTCTCCCAAGAAGCAAACAAGTCAGTGGTGTGGGAAAGAGTTTTGTGTATGAATGAATAGAGTAGTCTCGAGGGATTTCCTCTGGGATGGCCAAATCTATTTGTTTGGATTAATATCATGGCAGTAATTAATTTCATCTTGTAGCCTCGTTCTTTTAAAAGTTAACACAGTGAAGATGGATGATACTCGAGTGGGGATTAGATTGCGCTGTTTGTGCGGCAGCACTCACTCAAGTACAATCAGGGGATAATTGAAAAGTTCTCCGCTGAGTAAATTATACGTAAACTTGCTCATTTTCCTCGTGAAGAGAGACTTCCTGTGGTGGAACAAAGGTGACAGATGAAATTTAGTACGAGTGTTGGTGCAGCAATTCCTGGGGAATATTGTTGCACAACACCCTTGACACTTATGGAATTCAATACAGATTGTGCACATCCCCTCAGTTTGACCTTTTGTGCGAACCGTGCAAACATTGTCCGGCGCGGCTAGGAGGAATGGCAAATGGTTTGCTTCTGATACTCACGGGCATATCGTGAACAAATTACAATGAAATGAGTATAACTTGCAATAATGTGATCAGACGAAAATTTGAGTAGAGAAATCATATGAATTTTTACCTCAAACATTTGTCCACGTGGGCATCTTATGCTATATAGTGTTGTGGTCATGTAGTGAATAAAATGCTGTAGCATCATCACACGTTGAGAATTTTGGAGGAAAAGTTTGCATTTTGAATTTATAATTAGTCCCATTCATGAGCAAAATTAATTTACGGTTTTCCCATTTGGTTCACATTACACTGCACTGCTCTGACTTTTCCTCTCCACTGCAAATTGTCCTTTTGCAGACACATTGCAGTGACGTAGAAAAACACAGGAAGGTGAATTATAATTTCGAAAGTGTCTTTCACTCTGCGCCACTGCCTTTATGGGTTTATTCTGCAGGTTTGTTTTTCATGAGAAATTGTGCTTGATTTTTATGAAATGAAATGTTATGACTTCACACAATTTTCCACTGCTTTAAAATAATCCCCTTTCAATAAAATGTGTGAAGTGTTTGTGTGTTTCATACAGGAAAAGCCCTATAAACACCCAGGCACAGCAGTGAGAGTTTATACGGCACAAAGATGAACAGTTCGAGTGCTCTTCACTGTGCGAAACACGACAATTTTCCCGCTCGGCAATGATGAAAATGCCATGGTATTGGCAATGAGAATAATTTCCTGCAATTTATCGATCGTCTAATTAGAATTTCCAGATGATTAAATCTCATTTGAAGTTTTAATCGCACTTTTTATCCGCCCTATTGTACAGCTGATATTATGTGTCTGTGTGTGGATACAACGATAATAATCGCTATAATTTAATTTTTCCCCCATTAAACTTTTCTATCTCTCTCTCTGCTCTCAAATCTCTTATACTCCATTACTTACAACTCTACTCACACATTATATGAAATTATATTCACGGCATAAGACTGGGTGACTTAGAGAGGAGGAAACACTTCAATGATAGAATGAAAAGGGGGAAAGGGAAGAAAAACCAAAACTTAGAGAGATACTTCGCGAATGTTTCAAGTCAATCTTTAGATGCTACAAGTGTTGGAGGAAGAGAAGCAAAGTTTGGCCGCCCGTTGTGCGAATTTGCATTTCCCATCGAAGACGGAAATTGTACATTCGCAGTAAAATAGCACTAAACGTATCACTTAAATAGACACGTCAAAGGGAGTATGTTGAAATATTTGTCCATGAGAAAGAAATGCGCAGGAATGAGGGTAGTTTGAATCTTTTTTTATAGATGTGGTGATTTTTGGATGTTGTATGCAAATGTACTTTACGATATTACACACATATATATATATATAAATAGAGGAATTTATCAAAATGTAAATTGTATATAGTTAAAACGGGAAAACGGGAGAAAACTGCAAGGAATTTTTATTACCTATTACAATTGAAAATGCTAAACTAAACATACAGTGGCATTAAGTTGTGCATTTTCGCATGAAATGTGAGTAAAATCATATCGTCTTCATCAAAAATTGTTTTCCATTTATCACGGATTTATATCACTTATATAATATTTGTTTATTTGTTGATGAATCACTGGAGGCCCCGATGCAATAAGAGTTTATGTTTTAGCAAGATTTTATGCCAATAGCAAATAGAAGAACATTATATTTAGTGAGAGTTGTGAATTCAAATAGTTCCTCAATTTCAGTTCTTTTGTGCAGAAAGCAAAGTGTGTCATTTTGAATTGAATTTTACTGTATATGAAGTTATGTTTTTCTCTGAAGACACACATCAAAACGAAGCACATAAATTCAAATTAGCTCAGATATTTACAACGCACGGCATTAGACAGAGAGTCATAAATATGGAAAATGTGCTTTACGAGCTGGATTGTTGCGCGCATATCGAATTGAATAATTAGTTGAGTATTTGTTCTCATCATGGAAAAAAAATATTTTAACATGCGATAATCAGATTTTGAAAGAATAAAAGTGTTGATGCAATTTTTGTAGCAATCAGCAAAGGATTAAAGTGTGTTAGTGAAGCAATTTGTTGTCCAGCAGCTCAATTATTTTAATGTTGAGCAGTTATGCATTGCAGCTCGCGAAGCTTTGTAGCATCCAGTGCAGAAATTAAACGAATTCGCCAATTATCTTTTATCATATCATCAAGATTGTGTAATTAAATTCTGTGGTGCGGTTGAATTGCTGCTAATGTGGCAATTGGCATCAAAATTTGTATTCATATTAAGTGCAGCACAAATGTTTTGTTTGCATTGCTGCATGTAAATTTGATTTTGACACCAACATATCGCGTGTACATACTCACGATCACTATGCGCAATGGAATTCTTCCTGCCGCGAGTCCATTCTTCTTCAGAATTCTCCACGTGATTGGAAACGAACGCGGGCAGCACATGTGTGGAGATTCTTCTATAAATTGTTGAATTGTAAGCATTTAATATAAATTGTAGCGTACGAGAAAAGGAGTATAAATGTGAATTGTGTATAAAACGATAAATATAGTAAGTTTGGAGGCGTAGTGAAAAGGAATTCACATGAATTCTGGATGAATATATGAAGACAATTCCATGTTATTTTACTACAAAGAGAACAAATGTCGAGAGAGAAAAACCATTCGGATTTAGAGGTGTGCGTGCGTGAATTTGTCTGACTGACGAGTGCAAAATTGCGGAAAAATGAACAAGCAAGGAAATATAAAACAATAATCATTCAATACCGTGTAAAAGGTGTGTGTATATTCTATAATCGAAGATGATGATGATGATGAAAAAAGAAACTGAATTGATATTGAAATAGAAATTTGTAATTGATATTTATATGATGAAAGATGGTGAGAAGGAAAAAAAATACACTAATGTGGAAAATTGAAGGCAGAAAAACACACAGTACATATTGATATCTTTAGATAGGAATTTATGATTATATGAAGAAAAAAAAAAACAAGTAACATTACCTAATCTTAAGTGCATCATATAAAAATATATTTATATGGCTATTTGAAAAGAATGGACGAAATTATGATAATAGCGAGAGTGCGAAAGAGTGAGGAAAAATATGGAAAAATAAAAATTCGGTGAATTTGAAGTGAAAAAAAAGATTGAAAATTGTTGTTCAGCTGTGTTTTTTCATATGATTTTTGGTGAATCTCATGTTATTCTGTGTTGTCAATCAAATTGCTGTGATGAGAAAAGAGTGCAACAAATTGTTTATGGTTAATTTCATTTTGTATCATGATGAAGAGAATGAATATGCCAAGCATAATTATTTTTCCCTCTGGGATGAAAATTGAAATTCCATAAAGTTCCACAACTACAGTAGAGAATTTAAATTGGGAATTTTGCAGTGAAACCTTTTATGTTTCGATGTGCAATTTTTCCGATTACGTTGTGCATAAGTTGAAGTGATGTTCATTGAGCGAACTGTACAGTTTTTGCTCCCTTTTATTCCCACCCATTCTGACAACAAAAAACCTATTTATCACTACACTTTAGAAGTATTTACAGAACACCATAATGAAATAGCAACAATATTGGACTGTTGTACGATGCGAGAGGGTTAAATATTGATCAAAATTGCGAATTGCGTGGGCATTCGGTGCGAAATATTGTGATTCCACGGGGTTGAAGCACTCCCTGAACTAATTAAATGTCTGTTTTTTATCAGTTCTCGAATAGATGGGTAATTTTCACCCAACACAACGTGCTCCGTCCGCTTTTTTTTCGCCTCTCTGCCTTTTTTCCTGTCTCTTTATACACACCTTGTTGCCTGTGTTTTGCCCATATTTGACTCCACAGTCATCTCCACGTGCTCAGGGTGAAAGTGGCTAAAGGGTGCTTGATAATGAAAATATACTCCCAACCGCGCGCAATCTCTCTCACTCTCTCTCTCTCTTTCTTTCTCTCTTCCAACTGCCTAATCCACTAACGAAGGTAAAAGGTGTTTAATTCGTTGAAATTAAAATTACTCCCATAATCGCCCTCTTTTTATATATTAAACACCCTCAAAGTCTGTACTTGAAAAATTAAGATAACATTCTTCCAGTCTCTTCTCGTCTGTGTGCGTAAATGTAATTGAGAAACGGAGGATCACGCAAATATTAGGGCTCATCTAATCTGCAGTGCTGGCAATTTACGCCAAGGTCCACTTACTAAATTACTCCGCCAGTGAGTGTGTTTGGTTTGCAAATTTAATTATGCATCGCGTTGAAACATTTAAAGACACTCAAAGTCTTCTTCATGGTAAATTAAGTTTTCTTGTAGAAGATATCAACGTGTGTAAGCAAATCATAAGTTTATGATGGAGTTATGCAAGTTAGAATATAGAGAATAATGAATTTAATTCAAACTCTGACAAACTTGCATATGATTTAAAATGCAATTTTTTTCTCTCTGGAAAATTGCTGCACCTTTGCATCCTAGCGATAAAAAAAAATCGTTTGAATGGTAAATCAGTCAGAAGCACTTTATATTTTACAACATGCATTGTGTTCGGGAGATTTCCTCGAAAAAGTGTTGCATTTGCTTTCATCAAACAGTAATATTTTAATGGAAAATTTGCAATGGAAATGGCTTTCAGTAAATGAATTGAAATAATTTGTATTTTTTCATGACCTGATAACTACTGAATTGGCACGAATTGCAGCGATAGTGATTTAAATGATTTGCAATTCATTAAACTAACCTAGAAATCAATTGCTTAGAATTTCAGTGTGCATTTCTTTAAATTCATCTCTAATTGCACACTTTCAAATCAATTGACCGCACTCAATTAACAAACATTTCCGTGGGAAACAGTTTAAATTCCTGGGGTGGGAAAATTCATAAAATATTTACATCCCTCGAGAATATGTGGCCATATTCAGTGTCATGACCACGAAGAGGCACTCAAGTGGGAAGTCACACTGTAAATATAAATGTTCAATTGAAATTATGTAATATACGGTCGTAAATTGTGGTCAAACTATTTGCGAGCGGATAAAAGTTGCACGTTAAATTGGCGCCAAGTAATTTAGCACTGCTGTTGACCGTCAGCAGACGCGTGACTGAGCCTCCAGCGTGTTTTTCCAACTCTCCAACTCCTTTAGAGATTCTCATCTGCAAGGCGTTTCAGGGAATTTTTGCGTATATCCAAAGGTTCTACTATAGAGAGTCTCTCTGTTTAGATGTGATGAATTATTATATGATTAAAGTTTGTGATTCTGCTCGTCCACCTCATCTAACTACCTATTCTCGGGTGAGTTGAGTTATCTGTCTCTCAAAATATTATGCTTTCTTTAAGTTGGGATTTTGTAGTTTCATTGACATTTATAATTCCTTATTTCTGCATCTCGGGAGTGTAGTTTGTTTGCTGTTTTTATTTTTCCTCTTAACTGGTGATGCATTTTGCCCTCCCACTTCCTGTTTGAATCTCAGCATCTTTTGGAGTAATTAGAAGGTGTTATTTCTGGAACATGAGGATAATTCGCTGCATGTTGAGAGAATTGTTCACTCACTTTTCACTCCTCATTTGTAGATTTTCGCATTGTGTTTTTAATAATTTTTCCTCCGAATTTTACATGACTAATTTATTTTAATTAGCATCACTTTGAGAGATTTCGTTTTATTTATTGATTTTGCCAGTGTGTTCAGAATATTTCAGCGATACCAATTAACTTTTTGCCTCTGTGTTGTGCTTTTGTCCTTTCAGAGTGCGAGCAGGGAACGTTCCTCAACGACGGCCTGTGCTATGCCTCGTGCCCAAATGGCACGTATGTGGCTGCAGATGAGGTGCCGAAGAGTCGCCATCGGGAAGGCCACGTCTCACTGCGCTCGTCCACCCACAAATCGCTGGATCCGGACGATGACTACGCGACGCTGGAGCCTCAGAGGCGAGCTGTGCCATCGCAGAAAATCCTGCAGCCCAAAGTCTGCCTTCCGTGCCATTCCTCGTGTCTCAGATGCCGAGGACCGTCCGAAGCTGAGTGCTCAGCTTGCACTGAGAGTTATGATCTCGTCACCCTCAAAATCGACAGTTTCTGCCTGAAACGACCCGAGAAGAGATTCCTCGGTCTCTCCAAGTGTGCCTTCATCATCGTCTCGATTGTCTTCCTCACGCTTCTGTGTCTCATTCCTCTCCTGGTCGTGTGCTACGTTCGCAAGAGCAAAATTAGTCTCTGCTTCAAGCACACCGACGACTACGAGTACAATCCCGTCACAACGGAAACAGATGGCAGCTTCCCGAATTTCCCCAGTGTCCTTGGCAGCTCACTTTCTCCCAAGGGTCACACCCTCACACTCTCCAGTGACTCTGAAGATGAGGCCTAGGCAAGAGAAGAAGGAATGTTCTGTGATGTTGGGAGAAAAAGTGATGAGGCAATTTCAACTTACACGCTAAATTATGTAGAACTTCGCAGTTTTTTTTACAGACTGACTTAATGTGAAATGTAGAAAATATACTAGAGAAAAACTATACAGCAGATATTTTGGGTTAAACTCAATTTCTGCCCAAGTATTTCTAACATCACTATTGCCCTGTCATTCCGGGAACTCTGTAGAGAAACTCCCCATCGTCGTCGTAGAAGCAATCGCCCAGTTTGTACGTGCCGCCTCTCTTCCAGAGATGCTTCGGGATGTAAATCCTCTGCCGAATGTCCGGTTGTTTTGCGCGGAGAGTGCTTGTATGATTAATCGCTGGAGCAGAATTGTACTTCTTCACGTTGAAAATCTCCATTTTATCCCCGGACATGGGAATCGCAGGAACTTCAGGTGAGTTTTCAGGCTCTGGCTGGGATAAGGCATTGCTATCGCCTTCAAGTCGCTTCAGTTTGTCAAGAGTAATTTCTTTACCTCCCCGAAATGGCATTTTTTCTTCCTGTTTCTCACCATCTTCGAGAGCTTTCACTTTAGGTTTCTCTTCCCGTTTCCCTTCAATCTGCGCGTAAGCTTTACAACTTGTTAGGATTCTGGTGAATTCTCCCACCGGCAGCTTCAACGCACTCTCACTCGTGCTCTGGAGATGAACTTTCGGTGTGGCACTGGTATCAAATTTCCGGTGAGCAAATTTCTGAAGATGTTCCTTCAGATCGTCACTCATGTCTTTCAGTTTTCCCTCCTGGAAGGCCTTCCAGTTTCTCTGCACATGTTCATCGTGCCTCAGAATCCGCTTCTCATCAGCAGGAAGCCAGGCAGACTTGATAATCTTCCGGATTGTCATAATGTCAGCGGGGAAACTATCAGCCAACTTCTCAGCTGACCATTCTGATGGCGATTCACGATGCAGGAAGCGAATCTGCTCTTTCTCAGACCATGTCAGGAAGTTGAGTTGCTTTCTCTTGAAGTACTTGTCCCCCGTGATCCAGTGGGCGAGCTTTTCCCGCTGCCAGCGCTCTTCGGCCTTATACTTCCCGTACATCTGACCAGCATTCATGAAGTCACTTTCCAAATCTTCCTCCACATCTTCTGGCCTTATTTCGGTGTCTCTCTCCTCACGCAACATCTCAATCCGTCCATCGACACCGGGATTTTGCCAGCGCGTTTTCCTGGGCAGGTAACGGTATTGACTCACTACGGGTGAGCGGTGAATCCGGAGAAAAACACTCTTGAACATTATCACGCGCGAGGATTTGTTTTCTTCCCTGACAGCCGGACAGCCGCACGTGACGTGCCATAAAAATCGATGACGTTTCTATGTTTTGCCGAGGGGCGCGCGCGATGGGAAATGTCATGCCACGATTCGCATCTGGCACCACTCCAGTGGCGGAGGAGCAAGCAAAACAAAATCGTGTACTGCTGGCTTTTGTACGGAAAATTTCCCAATTGCAAATAATGACTCCGCAAAGTGAGGTGTATTAGCACGGAGGAAAGTACCACAAGCAATGTGTAGAGTGTATTTGTTGAAGTGTTCTTGTTTTTATTGACAATTTTCGTACGAAAATAAGGAAATTAAAATGGCGGATCATCCAAATTTGTCAAGTAAGAGGAGCCCCACTTTCGGGGAAAAGCACCTTTTCCGCCCACTTGCTGGGCATTTTGCATGTTTTCACTGGCGTTTTTCCCCTGCCTCTGCAGATCGCTCGAGATTTACCAAAATGGATTTCAGTCCTAACGCCAATCCCGTCGAAAGCGAGAGACGGCGCCAAATGCTGAAGCTCAGTTTCCAGCAGGATGCTGTGAAACCCGTGAAGCCCACACCGTTGCCGGACAGAACGAGGTACTCGCCAGCTCTGTCGCCCGTCAGGATGAGCTGCGGTGGCTTATCGACGGCTTTTTCTCCCCACAGAGATAGGATAAAGCTCCAGGCGACGGGGAAGCTGCAGCTGACGCCCGGCGAGGAGTACGATTTCACGTCCGAGGACCTCCAGGACTTGGGTGAAATCGGACGGGGTGCCTTCGGAGCAGTAAATCAGATGATTTTCAAGCGTACCAACACTGTGATGGCTGTGAAGAGGATTCGGTCCACCGTGGACGAGCGGGAGCAGAAGCAGCTCCTCATGGATCTCGAAGTGGTGATGAAGTCCAATGAGTGCAACTACATTGTGCAATTCTACGGGGCGCTCTTCAAGGAGGTGAGTTGCGCACAGCATGCCAAAGTGTGGGGATGTGAGTGGACTGAACGTGTCTCGTCTTTTCCAGGGCGATTGCTGGATTTGCATGGAGTTGATGGACACTTCACTGGATAAGTTCTATAAATTCATCTGTGAGCGACAGAATCAGCGGATTCCTGAGTCCATTCTGGCCAAGATAACTGTGGCCACGGTGCAGGCGCTCAACTACCTGAAGGAGAAGCTTAAGATCATCCATCGGGACGTGAAGCCGAGCAATATTTTGCTTCATTCGCGTGGTGACATTAAACTATGTGATTTTGGCATTTCTGGGCAGCTAGTCGACTCAATTGCGAGAACTAAAGACGCCGGATGCCGGCCCTACATGGCTGTGAGTATTTGCCAGAAGATGCCAAGTGAGGCAAGAGTGACACAGAGTGTTGTCTTTGCAGCCTGAACGGATAGATCCGCAGCGAGCGAAGGGTTACGATGTGCGGAGTGATGTGTGGTCATTAGGAATAACACTGATGGAAGTGGCCACTGGGAAATTCCCTTATCCCAAGTGGGGATCAGTTTTTGAGCAACTCTACCAGGTTTGTATGACAATAGAATGACACCAGCTTCTCAAATGATTTGAGTAAATAAATGGCGTTAATCTCAGGTCGTCCAAGGAGAGCCGCCCAGTTTGACTACATCCTACAATGGCATGGAGTTCTCAGAGGAGTTTGTAGCTTTTGTAAATACATGGTGAGTGGACCCCATGGAATTTATCAGGCCAAAAATGTGTGAAAAGATTTGTACGCAATTCACTTCCATGTAATCGGGGAGGGAAAAGAGTGTGTGATAAGCCACTTGTGAGGTGATTGTGATTCACACATTCATAATTGATGACTGTTTGCTTCTTTTCTGTGCTTTTGGCCCACTTGTCTCACGAGGCACTGAGAAAGTTGGGTGAGAAGCGATATAGTGATAGAGAGAGAGAGAGAGAGGAAGAAACACACACAATTCCAAGTTCCACTGAAAGTTTTTCTTCTTGGGATTTTGCATGCTTGAGCTGTAATTCGATCAATCTCGTTTCCCTTTCAACCAAAATCCCATGGATTATTCAAAATCTGTTCGTATTTCTATATATGTTTCGATACGATGAGAAAATCCCATGAAAGACCGAATTTGGTGGTGAAACATCGTCTGCTTATCTTATCTCTTATATGATGTCTCGCTTTGAGACACCCGAGTTAAGAGGGTAATAGAAGTGGAGTAATTGCATTGCAAGGTGATAAAAGCACTTTGCACATCTTTTGCATAGGAGAATTGCAAGAAAGAAAGAAAAAAGTGTCACTGAACTTTGCTTGGAATTCTATTAAGTGCGTAAATGTGGTTTCTCTTCTTCGTTGCAGTTTAATTAAGGACGAAAGCAATCGCCCCAAGTACAGCAAATTGCTCCAGCATCCCTTCATTCAGCGCGGCGAGCGGAGTCACACGGACGTGGCGGCGTACGTGAGTGATGTCCTGGAGTCAATGGCCAACAATGGCATCACACCGTTTACCACCAATCAGCCGGCCGAGTGCTGGAACATAGAATGACTGGGAGCGGCTCTCTCGCCAGTGCGATAGAAGAGGCCACAGTGTGAAGGGGTGAGGGACGTTTGGTGGGTCATCCTTTCGGTTGCGGGGGCGTCTATTATCTAGGAGTTCTACTATAAACTATAGAAAAGAGAAGCAAGAGTTCAGTAATGTACACACATTTAAAAAACACGGTTTTCTCTCCCATTCAATGACGCAGCAGCATGCAGTTTAATGAGAGTGATTTGATATATAGTGAGAACAATTAAATAAACACCTTACACCAATTTAGAGGTACATATAAAAAATAGCTATTGTAATCTTTCAAAGATAACCTTAATAGAAATTGATGAGAGAACATAAAGAAAAAAATACACACAAACACACTTTGAATTTGAAGGTAAAAATTAAAAGTAACAAGACATTAAAGTAGATTCGAAGCATTCGAAGAGAAGAAAAGAGAGATTAAGAGTTAAACAAACTATAATGTGGACAAATGCATTGCAAGAAATGTTGCTAGATATAATTTTCACAAATTGGTTTCATATAGACACTCCTACTCTAGCGTGTATCCTCTCGAGGACTATTTCCTCGGGAATTTAAATTCACATAACATGTGTATCTTTACCATTCTTTTGCTCTTTATCATTATAATTCTGTGCATTCAATCTTTCCGTTTCCAAAATGACTTCCTTCTGAACAATCTTGTGAAGAATTGTCAGAGATGAAACTGCAAATTCTCCAGTTTATCATGAAAGAAGAAAATGAAGAAAGAAAAATGCAATAAACCTTACTTAATAGACAAAGAACTGAGTTGATAGAAGATACGTTTTGAAAAGTCAGAGGTGAACAGACGAAAAAGAAAAAGAATAAAATAAACGAGATAGCGTCTCAGGATTATTTCTGATTGTACATAAGACTTATTTGACCACCTCTTATATTTTTCCCCCCTTTATACAAATGAACGCGGAATTTGGTAGAATCGATGAATAAATATATTTGACCCGGACAATAATATAAAAATACCCATTTAATTGACTCGTTGAATTGAAATTGATGACAAGAATAACCCATTGATCTGAACAAAATCTTGACACTGAGACAAAACGGTGAGAATTCAATAGAGATTGATATAGAAATTGTCTGGCGCAATTGTAATAATTGAATTTATTTTCAGTCGATTTATTTTCTCAATTATTTCCTCCTTATTTTCTCAATTCTGTATGGCAAGTAAATATATAAAGAAATATTGTACCCTAAGAAGAAGAAGAGAAATGAGTATTGAATAAGATTGCATAGGAAGTAAAAATTTTTAATAATGGAGCTTATTAAAAAGAGAAGAAAATTTTGAAAGTTATTTTTACACACCAATAGAAATTGTGTTGAAGTTTATGTATTTTTAATTGGCATTCCTAAAAAATAAATACTATGTAAAAAAAAAGTAATAAATTAAAGTGACTTAGAAATATAACAAAGGAAGTAAATAAATAGCACCATGATTTAAGAAAAATCAATTTTTCACTCGCTCACTTTCCACCTTTTTGGCGGTTCACAAAATCAATAGAGAAAATCATCGCGCGAGTGAAATTGATGTGCCATAAAAAGGCATTACAGCGGATATGCATGTGTAAGCCCTGCTTCGCCTCTGGCTTTTGAGGTTAGGCGAAGTGTCATTTTTCGCTCAATCCACGTGCGGAAAAAATACACAAAACATCGTGTGATACTTTAGGCCTCCAGAATGGATATTGTTAATGAAATTCTGGAGAGAGAGCAGCAGGAATTGGCCAAGTACAAGCCGATCACAGTGGAAAAGCTGCTGGAAGTGCAGAACGATCTTGGTTTGCTTCTCTGTACAGATGTGAATGATCTGGCCGAAGATCGGCTGAAGTGAGTGTTTCCTGGACTAATTATCCGCTTTGAGGGTCTTTAACAGGTGTTTGGGGTGCCTTTCAGGTCAGACTGTGATGATTACCTGCTAAATCTCACGAGAGACAACGTCCAGCTCTTGCTGAATGATGTTTGGCAACAGCCCACGGAGAGTGTCGAGGAGTCTGTTCTGGCCAAACTTCCGGCGCCTGTTCATCTTCTCCCGCGCGAAAGGAAGGTTCCCGATCCCAAACCGCTGACCAAGTGGCAGAAGTTTGCCCAGGAGAAGGGAATAAAGAAGAAGCCACGCATGCAGAAAACCTACGATGATGTTCAGGATGTAAGAATCACAGTTTATATTCGCTAAGATAGTCGCTAATGATGAGTTTCTCCGACAGAAATGGGTGCCGACGTACGGATACAAGAGAGCCGCGGCTGAGAAGGAGCGCGACTGGGTGCTGGAAGTGCCGGGCAATGCGGATCCCATGGAGGATCAGTTTCAGAAGAAGAAGGAGCTGAAGAAAGAGCGAGTGGCCAAGAATGAACTGCAACGCATGAGGAATGTAGCGAGAGCGCAGAAACTGAAAATCCCACGGGTTGGAATCACAAATCCTGCGGCGGCCTCGTCGAAGGAACTCCTCACAGCGGCCACAGTTGCCAAGGCGTCCACAGCGTCAGTTGGCAAGTTCCAGGACAAACTGCCGAAGGACAAGAAAGCTCGCGGACTGGGCGTCAAGGAGCTCATTCCGGGTGTTAAACGCAAGGCATCGCATCTGGAGCCGGAGACGAAGAGGAATTTGGATGTGGTGGAGAGTGTGCTGAAGAAGCGGCCGAAAGTGGACGTGGAAAAGGCCATTTCACTCCAGAAACGTGACGATCGCGAGAGGTGAGTGAAGGAATGGTGTTATCTTGATGACAGTCATTCATGCTGGATATTACAGGAGAGACGCTGAACAGGCAGAATCGAAGCCGAAGAGGAGCAAGAAGGGAAAGTCCCAATTCAAGTCGAAGGGAATGAAGAAGCCGAGAGGCGGCAAAGGTCAGAGGAATCCAAACAAGCGCACATTGGGAAGGAAGAGACGCTGATCATCTCGGCGAGTGAGTTGTCTTTCCACACGAGAGAATGAATGAATATATATCTATTTTCGCTACAATTGTTAACTCAATGCTCACCCATCGACAATGGCAAATTTATATCTCCACGCCGTCCATTAATTTTCCTCCGAGTCACGTTGACTGAGCTGAAGACGCTGGAAGATTAAATTGTTCCACCATTTGATAATGTTGCTTGTGCGAACAATTGTGCGCGTGCCAATTCGCGAGAGAGGCGAGAGATTGCAATTGAGACGCCAAAATTGTTATGAATTGTCCTGCATTTCCTCTTGACGCGCTCTCTTCTCTGCCCAAATTCCTTTTCACAGCGCGCACTTTCGGCGAATATCAGTGGTAATGTTGCACAATTGATGTAAGAGGTGGTCTGAGACTTTTCTGCTCTTTTCTATGGCTGGCAACTTAAGTGTTTTTCTTGCTCAACTTTTCACCCATCTCACCGACTCGAGAGTTGGACTTTTGTGGCTTCTTTTTCATTCGAAATTGTATCTCACAATTGCTAAGCATTTAATTTCAATTAAACCACGCTTGGAATTCACAATTATCTCGCACAGAAATACGACTTGGCGTCAGTGATGGGCAATTTTGCTACATTTTTTTTTCGCGACGTCGTGCTTGAAGCTTCTTCAAATCCTTGGAGAATTTTTATCAAAAGTCTTCCACTGAAAAAATGCTAATAAGATTAGGCGCCACATTCTCGGTGTCTTCTAATTGTTGTGTGGAATTAATTTTCATTTGTTAGCACATTCTTAGAAATTCAATTATGCCATTTAATTAATTAAATGACAAGAGAATAATTTTCTCTTAACATTAATTTGCGGAAATTCTCAATGCAAATTGTCTACATTTAAAGTGGTAGATGTAGTTATGTGTGCAAAATAGCGACATTGTTTACACTCAGATGAGCATCAGTGATTTAAACGTGTTGAGAAAAAAAAGTCTTATTCAACGGAAGACTCATCTTTTATGTGCTCCAGTACCGTAAATGATTTTGCAATGAGTATTAAAGATGAATTTGCAACTGCTAATGTGAATTAATTGCTCACAAGCTTCCATGAATAATTTTTACACACTCCGCGCGAGATTTGCAAACCCAACATGAATTTTCGGTCAGACTCTATTAAGTACATTGATTGAGGAGTGTGTTTTCTTGAGCATCGTGATCGTGACAATTTGCATCACTACCTCAATAGCGTTAGAAGTCATTTTCATTAAGAATCCACAGACTGACAATTAGTGGTATTTTGCTGGAAAAATTCCTGTCTTATAAATGCGCCGATAAGATTCATGAATTACTGTATCGTGATGGAGACAAATGCAGGAAACGTGATGAGTTTTTTTTCTCTTTCCTAGTATTGCTTGCGGATTTTGTGGGTGGATGCATTGTCAATTCATCCATGCTCGATGCCAACAAAGCCACGCGGAGGAATTTTGCATAAGAACCTTTTCTGTGGCGTCGGCGGCTCTCTGTGGGCAGCAGAGAAAACATAAACTGAAACCTCTTCCTGGACAATTTATCAGTGATTCAGTATCTCTCCGTATTTATGATAGAAATAAATATCACACACTGATGTGGAGAATTGTTGGGAGCGCGCGCGCGAAAAAAGTCATCACAGAAGGTCTATCAATTCTCTGAACGGGAGACAGTTGTGATTCACATCGTAGATTTTTCTAATGAGTCTGCATTTCATCATTTGGAAATTATGCTGATTATCTCAAATCGGGTCTTTAGTAGTAAATTTGGTCTCCAGATTGGCACTTTAAATAACTAATTGTGAAAATTGTTGAGAATTCTTCTGCCACATTTAACGTAAAATTCAATTTGCATTGCTGTGAGTCTCAATTGCGACCTCAAGCAATTTTCGACATTAAGATTTTGAAACTATGAGCCTCTATTAGAGGACTTTGAGGAGATTGAAGAGAGTTTAAATTCTAATGGAAGATAATTTATTCGAGGTATTCTTCACATGGCTTCACACGTAAACCGACTTAAGCGGTTCTCTGTAAAGCAATCTTCATATCATTGAGAGAAGCAATACAATATGATTTAAAGCCCAGAATAAAAATTGCCTTAAGCTTTTGGTTAGTAGAGGAATTTGTGCTGGTGATTTGAATTTGATGAAACACATTCAATGTGGAGATCGCTTTATACTGTCATTTTATTTCCCATTCACACGCTTCAAGATGGTGATAAGTGAATAAACGGACAAGTTTATTTACCTAATTGCCATACTAATTGAAAATGATAAATATTTCAGATAAACTAATTGTTTTTCCCAAAAAATCCCAACACAATTTAGAGATAAAATCCACACACTGACAGTATATCAAATGGATTTCTCTCCGGCCGATACACAAAGTGTCGACTTTATAGTGACTTTATATCAACATCGAAATATGCAAATCATAGCACATGGACGTTGTATTTTCTCCAAATATTTCCATCAATGCCTGACCACTCAGAGATCTGTATCTCAATCTATAGAAAATTAGCATGTCACTTTTACAACTCCACTAGAAGAGTGAAGAGCCAAATTCTGATTTCACTTTCACTCTCATTCGTCCGGAATCGCACACAATTCCGCAGATGCTCTGTCGTGACTCCTCTCAATTTTCACGTATCCATCATCATCCAAAGTGGTTTTTAGGGAAGTTGCGCTCAGTAATGTGCGAAACGTTTGCAGCACACTTAGCGTTTCGTGTGACGTTGAGTGCTGCGAAGCGTGCAGAAAAATGATAAATGCCTCAATTTCCAACATTGCACAATCTCAGGATGGAGTAAATGAACTACAACATGTGGGTTGGCGCTCTGTCCATCCTCTGCGGTGGCATCTCATCATAGACTGCGATTAGAGTATTGTTTGGCTGCGCAATTGAACTATTTGGAGCGGGCATTGTTGCGAGGAATGCAGGAAGCTGAGCATCACGATGATGAGCGGTGAGAGAAACGCGAGTGTCTAGCCTTGATTTCCGAGGTGTCAGGAGGTGACACAGAGGAGAACCAGGTGTGTAGATCACACTTCTTCGTGGCAAATAAATCATTAGCGGTATCGCGGTGAGGAATCAATCTCGTAATTCAATCAGGCAGACTCTTCAGGTGACATTTTACTGCCCATTGTTTTGCCGCAAAGGATGAGCCAGTGATTTACTATGCGGATAAAGACTGTTGTGTGGACATTGAATTAAACAATCCACCAGGCGTCCGCATCGCTTAACCCGGCGCCTCCACTTGGCCCTCTCCTGCGTAGTGAGATGTGAGATAAGAGAGAGCGAGAATCGTGAACATGAAAGCGCCCACAAAATTGCCAAATCTCAGCTGATGAATCTCAATTGTGTGGGTGTGAGAAAGATGAAGAAGGTGTAGTCCCAAATTAATTGCATATCACCTCGATTGTTTCTTCATCCCAAAAATTGAAAGAGAGATAGAGAAATAAGTTGTTAGGCACATTTTCACATGAGCTTCCTCCTGCCATTAAGTGTAATGAAGAGCATCAAAGCGCGGTTATATCACGTGAAATTACAACAAAATTGTTTAATACTTTTTATGACGTTGGCTTCCATTTCAGCTGAAGATTGACCTTGTTTCTGCCTCATATGCGAGACACTCTTGCAGGCATGATGATGGTGTGTGACACAGAGGAGTATATTATGAAAATTGAGTTCACGCGAGGAGGGATTTAGCCATTGGAATTCCTTTTGTGCGAGATGAAACTGGGTGGAAGTTGAGTGAGAGGACATTAGCTAAATTATAGCAAATCTTGCATAGCATACAAAAGTCAAGATCAAACAGATCTTCGTGAGCTGAGGTTTTTCGAACATCTATTCACACGCGGGTGAAGAATTGTATTGAGATTAATATGCGTAACCAGCTGTGAAGTGGTAATTTGTACCCTTGACGAATTCTGTCATCATTAATTACAACTTGTCCCTTGTGCTCTGTCTCTCTCCCCGAAAAATAGATACGCACATAAGCAAATTTGGTGATCATCAGTCAAAGTTGCGCGCGCGCGCGCACCTTTTGTATTGCAATGTTTTTCTTGTATCCACAAGCTGGATGCCTCAAATGTGATTGCTGCAGAAATATTGGGCAATAAAAGTGCTACATCATTTCAGAAAATGCTGTCAAACACATTGAGCCCAGGGAAAAAAGATTCAAGATGTTTTTCACTTCGGTCAATCGACAGATGAAGTGGAAAAGTCAACATGGGAAATTTCTCTGTACACGCGCTGTACTGTGATTTCGACCGAAAATGATAGCGTGAGGTGAGATATTTGTGCACAAAGAAGAAATACTGATGCCACTCCTTGCGACTCATCTCTGAAGCGTCTGTTTTTCCTTCGTGATTCGCTCTCGAGAGCTTCGACGAGTGACACAATACCATATAAAGTACGAAATATACTCATGCAGATCACTTACTTGGGGAGATTACTCAAATTTACAAGAATAGATGGCGATTTATTATTATATTGAAAAATATCATTCCCTACCAGTTTATGGTGATTTTCCATAAAATATCCTCAAATTGCAAAATCCAAGCAGTGAATCTGCATGTGAGGCGCCTGTCTGTTTGGCTCGGGAGATCAACTGAAAAACTGCACCTTTACTCTTTACCATTGCTAATACAGTCCATGAAGTGCTTGAATCTGCGCGTGAATCTGTCGATGGAGCGTAATTGGGTAAAAAATATCAAATTTAATTACTTATTCGATTGAAGGGAAAAAGCATCATCAATTATATGCTCACAATAGAAGCGCATGTCTTTTGCGACTCAAGACCACATCACGGAAAATCCAATTGATCAATTGTGCGCTCACTTGTCTTGCGATATATATAGATGACTTGGTGTGAATCGTGAGAGGGCAGAATGGACGGACATTTCTGCCATTTAATGCCATGTTTCGGGAGAATCTCCAACCGCGAGCAAGTGCAGTTTGGAGTTGATTGCGAAGATCGGAAGTGGAGGAGACTCAAACGACCTAAACACTCCCTAAATGAATGCTCATTTGACATCGACAAGGACACCGCGCTAGTTAATGTAATGCCATTGATTGACTTGATCATGTGAATTATAAACTTTTTTTCCTCATCTCCCGACATTTCTCTCCGCCAAACAAACATCCATTGAATCACCAGCTTCAGCGCAGCAAGAAGTTGTGAGCATGACTGTAAAATTGAGTGTATTTGGGGAATTACCATTGAGTGTTTGTCAGTGTATACATGAATTTATTGTGCAGTCGGTGGCTTTTTCGCGTATTTGCCCAAGATGAAATGAATTATGAGAAATGATTATGCAAAGCATGAGCAAGAAGTTCATCATGAAACAAGATGGGAGTTTATAAATTAAAAAGTCATCTTGACCACTTGTAAATGCGGCATAAGTAGCTGTAAAGAATCCACAGAAGCTTAACGCGCATTTTTGCGATGTCTGCCGCACTGTTGCAACTATCTGCAGAGAAGAGGTCACGCCGGCGCAGACTTGTGGAGAAAACAGTGCGAGAGACGTTTGAGAATTGAATGCATCTTGAGTAACGATCGAGAGGATGACTTTTCTTGGTGCGCCAAGCCAGACAATACCCAGCTGACGTATATCACATTGTGACGAAAGAGCAAATGAAGCGATTATGTTTAATAAAATTAATTGCTTAATAGTGTGCTGTGCGAAAGAACTGTCGATATTTACCGTTGAAAAATGTACAATACTAGAAAAACACGGCGAAAGACATCAATTGGCGATGCAGCGACGAACCTGGGAATTGCGAGGAATTCAGACGATCTTGTAATATAAAGTAAGTGATAGGGTTTTCCATGTGATTGAGAGGTATTTGCAAAATGTAGTGACCAGCAGTGTTCAGGCATTGCCCAAGTGCTTCATAGGGTCCTCCGAGAATTGATGCTGCGCAATTGATTGGGAATTTTCCAGAATCACAATTTGAATTTCGCGTGGGTGAGTTTTAATCTGCATTTCTCGGTAAAGTGTTTGCAAATGGAGTGACAACATCCAGTCCAAAATACCTCCTGAAATTCCCAAAAGCTGAGCCCACCATCAGAAACCTGAAAGTCATTACCAGCGAGTGCTTGATAATTTTTGCCAAAGGCACGAAGAACACCCGTTCCAGCGCAGCAACTCGCTGAGAGTTGGTCAGTAGTGTAGCAAATACTCTCCAAGTGATATAACTTCTTTTGCTCTTTTAATCCGAGGAACTGCGATATTCAGCGTATAGAAATTAATGGACTCAGAAGATATCTGATATGGCGCGCGGACAAAAGACATTGTGCAATCGATGACATGGAAATTATGCAAATAATTGGTAGGGTATTTTGCAAAATTGAGGGCGGAAACAAAGAAGATCTCTTCTTTTGCGCAATTGCAGATCATCTCATTCTTTTGGCCGACATTCCATCATCTTCCTGGCTGCCAACTTTGTGGGTTTCTCCTTCGATTTTATCCACTCATGCATTAATGCCTATTGGGAAAAATCACTTGTCATTAAAATCGGCTGATTTGGTAAGGTGAGCGCTTAATGCTCTTGAAGACAAAAAGGAACTGTAGCATTTTGCTAAATTAGTGATGTTTTAATGGGACCACTTTGCAGGCGAAGAAAAAGTCTCAAAAACATCAATTATAACGCCTACCGAAGTATTCGGGTCAAAATCATTTTGTCCAGCACAAAGTGTTATTCAATTACGCTGGGCGACCGGAACAATTACTCATTCCTCATCGCCAAATGGCTGGCGATTGAGTGATGGCGAAGAAGTCGCTCATGAGGGACACGTGCATTGCACATCTCTCCGGTCCGGAACATTCGATTGACCTTCGATTAATCATAGGCCCGTCGCTCGTGTGATTGCCGCCATGTAACGCCTCAAATTGTGCAGAAGCCGAAGGCGAGATCCTGCGATTATATTAATTAACATGTAAAGTGTTGAGAAGATTCAGAAGCGCAATTTATAGACAAGACGCATCTCATTTGGCTGGCGCCGTCGACCTCAGAATTGAGTAAATTCCAATTATATAATTGCCGATCCGCACAATTGCGGTCAGTTGCAGATGCGGGAGAATTGGTATTGAAGCAGAGTGGGCGGACTTAATGCGATCCTCCCATCCGAAATCCTCAATGGCAGTGAATTAATTCTGAAATCTCTTGGCGAGATGCCTTCAGCTGGGCGATTTACACGCGAAAATCCATCGCTGTGCTTCCATTCATATTTATAATGTGAAAAACATCCAATTTAATTGATTCTCATTTGTAAGTTTCTTCGTTTAAAGCATTTAAAGAGACGCTCTGCGAAGGGAACTTTCACTGGGTTTCTTGCAATCAGTAGAAATTTAACAATTTTTCACAGGAAAAGAAGCGATGAGAGTTGTTTTTTCTAGTCGATGTATACAATAAATAACAGATTTGTAAAGCTGCAGTCCAAAATTAGTCAATATTATTATAATACATGACTCATTTGTTTTTCTTATACAATCATCATTAAGATTGACTAGTCTGTACTTATCTTCCATACAATTAATACATTTTGAGCGTAAAGTTTTATTAACCACAGCTTCAGTCTTGGCTTCAGTCTTTATTCATTGAGGATGTTTTATTACCCATTGTACACAACGATATTAATACATCATCTCCAGTGCCATGAAGTGTTCTTCGGGATATAACGAATCTTTGTGAATTTTGTACATTTACAAACTCAATATGAATTATAAGCAAAATATATCTCTATTATGGTCGTTTGCCAACATTATCAGAGAAATAATAAATAAAACAGGCCTTTTATGTGTCATTTTTGTTCAATACAATTTTCCACCTATTAACTACTGGCACAGAAATGTCCCCTTTCATTTTTGCCTGCAGATTTGCGAGTTAGAACACCAAAACTCACAATTAATTATGCAAAGGTACATTGAAGTCTGACATCATGCAACTTTTGTCAAGCTCCATGTTGGCAACAAATGTTGAACAATTTTATTGTCTGAGTCAGATACTATCATCCATCAAAGCTCTATTGCTCCGCTGCATTCGCGTGGGGAGGGCAATGCTTTGCAAAATCCACAAATGCGACTGATACAGAATCGCTTGGCGTGCAGTCAGAATTGATGATGTGTTGAGTCGCCGTGTGGCGAAATATCTTCTGTCCATTAATCATGTAAGAAGAGATGGTAAACACGAGGATCTTTGACTTGGTAAGTCGCTAAAATTTTCAGCGGGAGTCATCTCTAAATTTCTACCCGATCGCGATCTATTGATTTTCGTAACTCCTCAGCACACTGTGCATCCAAGTGAAATATCATCGGCGATGCTATACCCATTTCTGATGAGCCGCGAGGAATTGAGCCGGCTGACATTTTCAGCATGATGCGACGACTGTCCATGTAGGCCTTCCCGCAGTATTTGCACGGCGATCACACATTGGAATGGCTCGCATGTCCTCAAATCTAGCGCCGCATGGAATGAGCATGGAACAGTGAGCCCTGTACGAAGCATTCTTTCACGTGATCTTTCATACATGTTTCTCATTTGCCGCACAATCCGCGCCAAAAACAATCAAAGACACAGCATAATCCTCTGCCTCGTCTTCCGCCTTGCTTAAGCCTCCGCCTCCGTCTTCGCCACATTCACTTAATCTCGAGGCGATGATCAGCACAGAATTCCGCTGAGCCATGCCACCTTTCCTGTATGGCGCATCCCAGCACGTTTGATGGTGCTGCATATTAGTTGATCATCAATGCAATTTAGTGACAATTTGTGATCGCGGCGGCAGACGTGAGAAGACTTTCCCACCAACGCGCCAGCAGCACCTTTTCTGTTCGTGGCTTTTCCACCTCGACTGGCTGTCTGCACTTTTAGAGCTTTCCGATTCATACACAGCGCGCCTCACAAGAGTGTGTGGCCACTCGAAGACGATCAGTGCACGCTGGTGCTTTGCTGTGATCACTCGCGATCGCGTCTCTCGCTCTAAAGTGTGATCATTCCTTAATCGCAAGAGTTCAATTGGCGGCGCACGTGTGTTTGGGTGTCTTCTCTTGTGTGAAATTATTAAGAATTTTAGCAGGGAAATATCAGTTCCGGGATTATTTGCTTGGAAGAGCCGACAAAAAATTCACAGTCAGCAAAACTCAATAAAATTAGCAAGTGTGAGAATTGAGCAGTCAATTCGGCGCGAATACCTCATGCTTAAATTGATGGTTTTGGAAGCATCCTCGTTTCTTCACATCTTGCAATTCTCCACTCTGAAATTACCTCCCCATAACCCATGATTATTTAATTAGCAACAGAAATTTTGACATTTTCCATCACACCGTCCCGATCATAAGTTTTGACCCCATGGCAGAGCCACCCACAAAAAAAGAGAACTAACAAGACTGATCAAATTATTCCATGATGATATATTACCTCTTTTTCATCTCATCTCACCTCTCTTCCAGGTTACATCGCGCCATGCATTTTGGCGCTGGGACGTAAAAATGATTTGTGCTTAAGCTCATTTGTGTGTTGAGTCATTAAGAGAGCGGAGAAACTTGAGTGGAAGAACTTCCTCTGAAAGTGATACTCGTGGGTAATATTAATCTCTGGGGACTGTGAAGTGTCGTGCTAAAAATGAAGCTAATCAATTTCCTGGCCATTGCTGCCTTTCTGTGTGTTTTCCCCGCAACAATATTTGGACAGACTTTCAAAGGCACACCAATTGTAAGTATCCCGCAATTACTTCACCTCCAGAGTGCTTTATTGGTATTATTTAATTTATTATCGCATTCGATATGCACGATATTTCTCTCTCTGTACAAATTTCTCCACCGACATCGAACAAATGTGTCTGATTATAAAATCACGCTTGAATTGAATTATCCATACTCAGCTGAATTCTAACACCCGTGCTCTTTGGCCACTAGCGAAAGTGAATAGAAATACTGTAATTTGCCTCATTAGCCGTTTTTTTTCCTCCTCGCACCGTCTGTCCTCCTTTGACAAAGGTCAGAAACTTTTGCACAATTTCTTCACCGTGGAGGCAAAAGATGCTCAGAATCTCATGGCAGTTTTTTTCCTCCATAATGCAGAAATAATTTACGAGAATGATCTTGACATCGACAACAGCAGTTAATGCGGTGGAATCAATAACGCAAACGATATTTCTACTTCCTTCGCCAATGCACAAATTTATTGTTCAATTGTATTGTAATTTATCAACGTTTATTCTGACATAGATAGGGAGACAATTAAATTATGAGATTCTGGACATTTCAAGCTCACCAAGCAGGGATAATGATTTACACGACTTTGTGCCACTGCGACTTGTGGCATCTAGAATTTCTTGGAATTTCAACGCAAATAATTACATAAAATTTTTTTTATATCATTTGATGCTTAAAAGCAACTATAATTCGTTATTCAAGACAAACTGTGTTGTAATTTAAAATTTAAATCAGAAGACTGTAAAATTTACGATATAATTGGGTGTGTTACAATTTCGGTCAATTTTATTGCTCATCACGGCAATAAAATCGGCAAAATCCACAAGACAAGACATGGAAGACTTTTACCTTCTTGCAAAGCAAAACATAACAAAGGATTTACCATATTTGGGTGTCTTTTGATGTAACGTCGTTGTCTAAGGAACTCACTCGAAATTCTGTGAATCATCAAACATGTTTTCACAGGTGTGATGAAAACGAAGATGTCTATAATGACTGTCTTCCCAAAAATTGCCCAAGTTCTGGTCAAGATTCGCGTGAAGAATCCACGTGACCTTATATGGATGGACCGAGTGATTTACCACCTGCGTGAGGATACAAATTGAAAATTAATGGCATGATCATTAATAGCGATGGTATTGCAGCAATTATACACATAATCGCGTTGGCTGAAGAAAAGCACGAAATCAGAATCCGCCAGCAGCGTCAATTGGCGGGGATTTCTGGAGTGTCTGATAAATTCATGACTTCAGCATGCGTTGTGGCAAATGGAAAATTGAATTTTTGGGGGGAAAATGGTGTGTATGGGAATATTTTATGTAAATGCCTGTGGCGAACACCCACACGATTGGAATGATGATTAAAAAGCGCAATTGTGTGACCTTGTTCGCAGCGTCCTTTGCCATCAAACACTCTTCTCGCGGCAGATAGTGATTTTGTACACTCAAATGCCAATCGATTGTGCCTGAAATTTCGTTATATACCTCAATTGGTGGTGAAAGTGACTCTTGAGGAATTTTATTCTGGAAATCGCACATGATTCTCTTGCGGCGAAACGATAAACAAGCAATAAATTTTGACTCTTAAACAACACTCTCCCGGCCGGGAATATTTTCCCGCCACTCATGACGAGAGTGGAGAGTTATTTTATCACTTATGATTAATTAAAATTGTTGTTAAAGAGTCATCACAGGCAAAAAGCATTGGGAAATATTGGCAAATCTCTTGTGATTCTCACACTTGAACTCTCATCGGTAAATTGACTTTGAGAGTTTCAAACTTTTGTGATCAATAATTTGATTTCTTAATCACACTCTTTTGCTCGGTGCTGCGTAAATAAGCATTTTACCAGCTTGCATGTGATATTTTGCAGTTGTGAACTTTTTCTACGTCTTGTGAGCAATCATATTTTGTTTGGTTTTTGGACATGGGATTTTTCCTCGAAATTTTGTACAGTGAAAATGTCAAAGAAACCCCCCAGCGAGTTTTGGGATTAAATTGAACAGTCTTTGGTCTGTCCATCAGTGAGCTTTTAGTGGACGGATTAGAGCATAACGTGGTTTGTGTGAATAAATAGAGCGAGTTTTGCCATTTCTGACAAATTTATGCGGTCAGAAAAAAATTCAATATTTTCCTCTTTATGGAAATACTTAATGTCATGTCATCTCACTCGCTCTTCGGCCAATTCCGATCTATATTGGCGAGAGAGATTTTCCATCATGCACTATGTTTGTGTTTCATGCGAAGTGACACGGCAAAATGTTCATTTATGTTGATTTTATGTGTGCAAACAAGTTTTGCTAAAATGTTTCATTTTAATTGAATGGCGCTGAGTGACGACGATTCTTGCCTGGGATGCTCCAATGCTGTTGATATTACATAAAGTGGCGACTGGGTGGAAAACCAGTGACATTCTGGAGATATACAGCAAAGATCATGTGATGAGAAGCTTTTTCTTGTTTTTGACTGTGGGTAAAAAGTCACATGAGAGAGTCCACTCCTCACACCATTTGGCAAGCACTAAATTACTCCATTGACCCACTAAGAGAAGAGGTGGTAAATTTCCTCAGAGTCTCCTAAATGGTGCATTTTTGTGCGATATCAACGCAACATCGTTGAGTTTTATGCAAAATGTTTCAATTGATATAATCCGATGATGCGTGTGATCTCCAAAGTGCTTCCACTCGAGAAAGCAAACGTGCAAATAATCGTAAATAATTAAGTTGGAAGTGGGCAGTGTGGTGACGCCATCGTGTCCAGTTTCATCAGACAAACTCCATTGAATTATCACGCTAAATCTGACTAAATTTTTCTCACACTCACTTTCTTGCCTGCATCACTGTTCTTCGCGTGTCGCTGAGACACACTTCTTCGCGGTTTTTTGAGGAAGAAAGTGAAATTGGACATTGCCTTCTGGGTGCTCTTTCTTCTCCATTTTTCTGCAAGACACACCGCGCGTCTCGTGCCAATTCTTCCCGGCGGAACCATAAAAAAAATTGGACAGTTTAGCCTGAACACGATCGTAAAATGAAATTGTAGAGTGCGATGTATATTATACGGTCCGACCAGAGCGTGAAGTCGACATAGAGTGTTTAGTCGCACAGAGGAAAAAAAACACCATCAAATAACATTAAACTATGGACGGCAAATCAATTCAATTAATAAAGCACTTAGCGCGGGTGGAGGCTGTTGAACTTTTTGAATGTGCGCCTGGCGGAGTAAAGTAATCGCGAACTAGTTTCGTATGGTCGAAAATCGCGCGTTATGGGATAAATTGGCGAAGAAAAGAAATACAAAATAACAATGAGGCCAGACACTGAAAGTGTTACAATGAATTGCTGCCACCCTCGCATGCTGGAGAATTCTGCATAGAAAACTCACGACACCCAACAATGGTGTCTATAAGAGCTCATTAACAATCTACTTGACGCTCAAAACAGTAAACCACGTGAACAGAAGAAAAAACAGAGAGAATTGAATTTTTTTCCTTCACCACACACTCTTCGGGCAATTATTGCTCAATTTATGTAATGTACATGTGCACGAGTGGCGGAGAAAAAAAGACTTACACTTTCGTCAGATGTTATACCATCAATGAATTTGACTGATGAGGAGTGAAGAATGCCGATCCGTGGGTCATTATCAATTGGATCGCGTGCTTTATATTAATTTATTCCAGTCAATTTTTTTTCGCGAGATGATCACCTTCACTTTGCCTGGCGTTTGCCTGGGAAAGATCAGGATCATTGCCATCGAGTTTTAGATGGAATTTGATCAAATTTGAGTCTTCCTGATCTTTTGTTCTCACATGATATCTCTAACTAATTAGCCAGCGATCTTGTTTACCTTTCTAGAATCCCAGAATGACCTTCTGGTCCGTCTGCACTTTGAATGAATTCTCCTACCAAACAAACTGGATAGAGAGTCGCCTCAGCATAAATCATGACATAAATTTTCCCATTTGGTTCATTTGCATTTTCTACTGTATTCAAGAGACCATCTGTTAGCTTCGGTTTTTTATGAGTCTATCAACTCCTTCACCTTAACACCTCAGCGGTAGAAATTCATTCGCCCGCCCCGAAAATCTCCAATGGAAAAGCATCGTGTTTTGCAGTTGCTGCTTTAGTACAAGAGCTTGTATTGGTATATTCAAATCGGGTGCTGAGTGTCATTTGAATTGAAAAGCTGATTTCATTTCCATAACTTCCAGCCCACTTCTTATGCGATTTACTGAGCTGTTCCGCACCACTTGAAGCTTCTTCGAAAGCTTGAAATTTTAAGCAAATTTCAGAGACCTTCAAGAAATTCTGCGGGACAAATGATTATTCTTATGAATCTTTCGCACACATACTTTATGAATTAATCATGCAGCGTAAACGGGAATGCTGTATCAGATTTTTGGGTGATAATCTATGTCTCTGTGGGTGAGGAAATTCACAGACGACCGAGAAACCTTGACTGTCGTGAAATAATTTCTAGCATTTTTGCCGCATATTTGCCATGAATGAGGCAGAAGAAGACATGTCTTCCGCCTCAATATCAAACTGTGTGGCGCCTTAATTATGCAAATTGCCTCTTTGGGGCAATTTACAAGCCATCGAGACTGTCATGGGCCCAGGAGAAACTCGTTTCGATACAGTGTGTTCATCTGCAATGAAAGTAAAAGTCCCATCGAAAACCAATTGGCGGCTGGTATAAAAGATGATGATCGTTAACCTAGAAAGCACAAAAAAGAAGGTGTGTTTTTCATCAACTTTCAACGAGAAGCTATTGAACTTGATCCACATTCCCACAACATCGTGAAATTTTCTGCAGCACCTCGAATCTGCATTTTATTCAAATGACGCCGTATGGGAGAAGGCGAAAAATTTATTGGAAAATAAAAGCACACGGCAGAGATGGTGGTTGGAATAAATTGACCTTTGTTGTACATGGAAAGAATTTCATAAAATGTATCGCCAATTGACTCACTCGTCTGCATTACGACATCGCATGTGTGGAATTTTCTTGCTATGCATTATATTGTAATTTTGTCGTGATCATGTTGAGATTCATACACTGCGAAGATCATCTCCCAACATGTGTTACGTGTAGATCGCTAGAATTCGATCAAGGAAAACATATTCATGTAAATTGCCAAATAAGTCAATATAAACACCCTCTTCACATGGTACAACTCTAGTGACTCTCACTCTCTTTGCGATGAGCGCCTTGTGAAATGGTAAATGAAAAACTCATCAAGCGATAAAGAGCGTCTATTTACATTTTGTGAGTGACAGACACATCTCACAGGGAACAATATGAAAAGCGCACGCCGACAGTATTGCAACAAGAGATAGATAGATACTGTTGCTGTACGCAATTGCCAACAAATTGTTATTTGTAGAGATCATTTACCTGCTCATTATATCACATCCGCGTAGGCACATAATCGCTACATTATTAATGTTATGGGACCCAACTGGTGAATCCTCTTTTTCCTCTGCCTCGATCATGTATTTGAAGATCACCACTGAGAGTCAGACTATCAATCAGCATCACCTTTGACGCACTTTTTGCCCATCTTGACAATGCAAAAGAATTGCGATTTTTTCCTTCTCAAATTCCACATGGTAATTGTCTTTTTTATCCCATTTGTACTCCACCGCGCAGCTTATTTAGCCATCAGAAGAGGAACAACATGTTGCCTGGGTGAAGTGTCTCTGCCCAAAGATCACCATCGAGAAAGATCATCTCAATGTCAAAATAATAATAACTTTTTAGCCACGCAACATGTCGCAACATCTCTTGTAACAATCAGACTGTCCATGTGAAAGCTTCTTGAATCTCCCCCTGCATGATCGTCTTTTTTTCCCGATCGTCATGTGATGAGATCACGTTTGGTATAGACAAAATGATCATTAGGCAAATCTCTGGGGAGGAGATTGCGTATCTTCTGACCAATTTGAGGATCACCTTGATCAGCCCAAAAATGGGATCACACTTTTTCTCGCCGCAGCCACATGGCTTGAGTTCATAGGCGGAGTAAATGTACAATATTCCTTGTCAAGATCGAAAGTCATAACCGTAAATTGCATCGTGAAAAAACTGGCGAGTTGCGGTGGGGAGGAGAATCAGTGTGAGAAAAAGTGTTGTCAAAGAAATGCGATGTCTGTACACAGCCAAAAAGAGGCACTGCCTCGCATTGCAGAACGTGACTGATCATACGCCCTCGAATTCTCTCACCGCAGATCGCGATCGCGACTCCTACTCGCGATCGCGATGATCAACAAAACGGCCCATCGGCGAAGGATTAAGTCTGATTTAATTGATCACTTAGTATATCTGAATTTATAACAATCCCACTTCTCAGTCGCATGAGATAAATACATTTTGGTGGTTGCGAGCTTAGTGTCTCCAGCTCATCACAACGCGATCACATCCTCCGCAAAACCATTAAAATGTACATATTAGACATCACGTGAGAAATGACAAAGAGGCATGGAATATTTCCACGGAGTTCCGAGATGTGTGAATTTCCAGCAAATTCTCGCATTTTGTGCAAATTATGTTATTTATTGGGAGAGCATTTGATTTTATGGCGTCGTCATTTGTCGATGAAGATAATATATAGATTTTCAAGTCAGGCGAATTGAAATCATAGAGCATTTTATGCAAAATTTATCAAAAATATTCAATTTATTGAATATTCAAATGTAGACAGGTGAAAAATTGAATTGGCATTGGCAATAAAATTATTAATACAGTTGTTGTGAAAATTTGAATAGAATTGTTTTAAAATTGAAGGTTTGTAAACTCTGAATTCACTTAATTATTATTTTCGTTTTATACATATCAAGGGTGAATACGAAGCTTTCTTATACTTTCTAACAAATCTTCAAGTTTGTTCATTAAATGTTTTACATCAATTCATTATCTCTCGCATCTTTCGAATTTTAAAAATTGATTGCAAAACGGTTTGGATTGTAAATTTTTCATGAGATTATTGAATTTCAATCTATCAGAACAAGGTAATAACTTGAGAAATAACATCAGCCGACGCCAAAACCAATTAAGCGCATTTAAATGATTTTTAATCATTATGAAATTGCCGTATTATCGGTATTTAGCATCGATTTAGCACCCAGAAGATGAGTATATATTGAATTTGATTTGAATACTTGAACTTGGGATTCTGTGCGCAATCGGCTGATGTTCTCGTGACAAGACATTGATGAATCTCTCATGACGCCGTGTTGAAATCACACCATAAATATGAACTTGCAATTGAGTGTGCAAATCTCTCTACAAGAGTGTTTGCGGAATTGTGCAATATTGCACTCTTCGGGGAGAAAATTAACGAGTCAGTTGTCTTGTATCAATCAATCGTGCGGCCGGTGATGAGAATTTGCCAATTTGGTCTTCACGATGCTCACGGGAGTCGTCGTGCCTCCATGATTGCACGGAATCACTTGCCCCAGTGCAGCCACGCTTGAGAATGGGGACAGTCGGTGGCTGTGGGCGCGACGTATAGTAGAATTATATGTATTTGAGAGAGTGTGCGCTTTTCAAATAGTCATTCAAATTTGGAGAGAAAAAAAGCACAATTGCATGCGCCTATTTGGCCCGCGCGCTAATTGGCATTGTTGCTCATTGCAGAATCAGGGGCCCGTGGGCGCTCACAGGGTGATTCCGCGGACAGATTTCTCATGCCGTGGGCGACCGGCTGGCTATTATGCGGACATCGAGACCGGCTGCGAAATATACCACATGTGTGACGGTCTAGGTCGCCAGTTCAGCTACGCCTGTCCCAACACAACACTCTTCCAGCAGCGGATGTTGATCTGCGATCACTGGTACATGGTGAACTGCTCGCGCGCCGAGAGCAACTACGCGGCCAACTTGCTGATCGGTAATTAGTGCCTTTCTGCACGTGTTCGAGATTGCGGAAAATCACCACCAGCTGATTTATTGCAGGTCAGCGCGACAAGCCCTTCGTGGGTGAGGAGGAGCACGAGCTGAGAACTCCGCGACCAGATCTCCTCGATCGTCCGTATTCGCCAGACTACTCAGGGGAATCCTTCAGGAAGCACTTCAAGGTAACAGCACGACTCCATCTCTCACTACCATAGACCATTGAGTGCGCAATTGAGTGCAACCACTTGCAAAATCGTTGCTAATTCTCTGCTAAATTCAATTTGAATTTATGTATAAATTAATTCGCATGCACACTTTTTCGAGTTGCGCAATTTCTCATAATTGAACGCGATCAATGCACACGAACTTTTACTCTCAGAAAATCCCAAGCTAACTTACCGTATATGCTAATTTTCTTCTTGCAGACAACGCCAGCGGTCCAGAATACGATTTTGGGCAGGAGCGGCGATGCGAAGGCCTCTGGCAAGACAATCGAGAGCGAGGGATCTCTTGAGACGGCCCATTCAAATTATCAAGGACCTCAGCTCTTCTTGCCGATTCACTGGAGCACGAAAAGTGGCGCTGACGCAACAGCTTCTGTCCGGCGAGATGTGAAAAATGAGGAATTCGTGCCGGGCAATCGGCGGGTGGATGAAGTGGCTGCAACGGCTGATGACGGAAAGGCTGAGATCATTGTCTTGCCGTCGCCAACGGGCTTTGCTGTGCCGTCTAAGCCAGTGCCAACAGCACCTCCCGTGAAGAATGCTTCGGTGAAGAAGCCCTCATTGCTTTATGAGCCACCTTTTCTTCTGCCAGACTACAATCGCAATGTCCGACCGCAGACAGTTCAAGCGGCACAGACAACAACCGGGCTGCCGCCTCTGCTCAATACGCCACAGATTCAGAGTACAGGGAAGCCTTTCACTGCGTCCGGTGTGAAGGATCCTGTCAACGAGAAGGTGTCGAAGACGAGGAATGTCCCGCGAACAGAGCCACCAGTGTCTCCAACTCCGAGGATTCTCTCACAGAATCCATTCATTGCCAATTCTCTTCTGACAGCGAAGCCCACAACTGTTGGCACTCAGCAGCTCAACAACAGACCCAATCCCACGTTTCCTCAGCCCGCTCGAGATCTCCTGCCGCCACGGATAGATCACAGACAGCACGATGACGCCACCACTGAAGGTCCTCCGATATACTACGAATGGAAGTGGGCAGTGCCTGCCTTCGTCCTGGAGCCACCGAAGCCCATCAATGACTCCACAGTGTCTGCCACGAAGAAGGAGCCAAGCACTCAGGCTTCAGTGCCGAAGGAATACGCCCACAATCCTTTCCTGAGTCGCGCCTTTGCTGGCAAAAGCGCTTCTCCGACGCCAAATCGAAGTTCCACAGCTCGTGCCTTTTCTCCTCCCAATCGCGCTTCTTCCACGGAGAAGCCGAAGGCCCGGGAGCCCACTAATGACTACAATGAGCTGAAGAAATCCCTCCTCATTCCCGACTTTGAGTTTCCACTTGAGAAGGATGTGCGCGGATTTGAGCAGAAGGAGGCGAAGAACTCCTTCCAACTCGTGATTCCCACAAAGAGCGACAAGCCGTGGTACGGGGAGAACCCCAAGTGTCCCGATTGCCATCCAGCTTACGTCCAGCCAGGCACCTGTGAGCCCTGCATCAGAATCAGATAGTGCGGCAGGTGGTACAAGAAGTTTAACTGTTAGATGTCTCGTAGCCAGTCAAATAAGTCTCTTCTACGCTAAGTTCTGTGTGCGCAATACTCTTGATTTGCAATACTGGGAAGAATTTGGTCATAACTCAGTGACAAAACAATTCTATGAAATAAAAAGATAATTTTAGTAAATAAAGACTTACAAATTGAGCTTTTTACTGTTCTTCACTCGCTGCCGATGGAGACGCCTGGTCACTTCCTCTCGTTTTGCCTACCTCGCGGCGATTTCGCAAACTCGACGAAGCCACAACGAGAAAACTGCAGAAAAACCGCCTTGACCATCAATAAAACAAACTTTTTTTACAACATTGGAAGCTCACAACTTGATTATATTTGTTCAAAATAATAATAATAATAAAAAACATGCCAGTATTCGGTGTTCTTTTTCATCTATACGACAAAAAAATCTCTTAAAACATAACGTGTGTTCATCTACTCGCAAATTGTATATAATTATCAATTAAAATTGTACTTGGGAATATAAAAACTACACAATGTATTTGCTTAGAGAGAATTAAAGTGAATTGCATTATCATAAGTAATATCTGCTAAAGGCAAAAATTCCTATCAATGTAGCAAGTAAATTGCAAAACTTTTTGTAACTTAAATGTTTTGTGATTTTTTTTTATACGCATAAACTTCTTTCGTGTGTTTTCTTTGTATTACAATTATATTTGATACATTTTACTGCATAATTATACTTTGGACTAGAAAAAGGCACAGCAGAAACCACGATTGTTTCTTCCTTCTAAACAACATATCTTTTGCAAATCTCATTCTCCGGCTGCAATGCAAAAGTCTTTGATCATGCCTCAGCTGGACGATCGTGACACGGCACGGTAGATAAATTGGGCGGGAATCCATCGAGAATCACCTGGTATGAGGGGTACAGCGTTTACAGTCACTAGATGTTCATCTGTCGGGTCAACATCTGGGAGAAGCGCCACATTTCGAGTTGGAGAATTTATTCGTTTCACTAGGACACCATCAACGGAAATCTAGAAGGAAGATTGGCAATTACAGCAATGAATCTCATGGAGTATTGCACCGTGTGAAAGAGTTATGAGGAAATGAACAGGATGATAAGATGCATAGAGGTTAGTAGAACTCTTCATCGCAGTATATGTACCTCAAATCCGCTAATCTGGCTGTTCGGCAAAATTCTCCAACCAAGCAAAAGCGCCTTCCCTGACATTTCATAGCATGCACTTACTGTAACCGGCGAATATTTGTACTCTGTTCGAGATGTTATTAATGAAGCGGGTGAATTTGTTAGTTTGTTAATGTTCTCATCGATCTTATCGCCAAACTGTAACTAATATTATAATGGGAATGTCATGACCATCGCCAAAAATCACAGTAAAAGACCTCAAATTGTGCCACTCACCCATGAATTTGGAAGGGAGGTCTCAATTTGTCGCCAGTTGGGAGAGGATCGCGCCTTTCGGAACAAATTGAGAGCCTCGGCGTAAGAAGGAGGCGGAAGGAGTTTCTGGAGAACAAGGAATAAGGACACGACAACTGGATGGACATCCGCGTCAATGCCACTCGGTCTGTCTGGCGACAGTGTTGGATCTCCATTGGTGACAAGTTGAGTCTTCATTTTCATATTTGATCGCACTAAATTGTCCTCAAACTCATCCATTGTCATCTTGAGAGCATGAGTCGCCTCGAGAAGACTCTTCAGCTTGTCTTTCTGCAAAAATAGAGACTTTAGAATCCTCCTTTTCCCATCCACATGGAGAATTACACACATTTTCCTTCTCTTTCCCAGCGCAGCGTTTTGATTCTTGATATTCTCCTAAGATGTTTCGGAATTTTCCCTCATTTTCTACACCGTTGTCACGAATCGACCGTAAAACTGCTGAAGAGAAGATCACTTTTAGACCATGAAAATGCAAAAGAAAACATTATTCTCACAAGATTGTGCATACAGAAGGAAAGGACAATCATCTTGACCACAGTCATTTGGACACTCGGAAGGATACATTGGATTTTGGAGGATTTAAAGCAAACTTGACAAATAAAATAACATGAATTTCCCGACACGCTTTCTATGTTTAGTAGATCTTTATTATTAAATAAAATATTCACTTAATTGTGAAATTATTGAAGCTTGAGTTTTCCAACTCTTTGCTGGGCATTGTTCTGAGAGCTTCTAACGCTGCAGAGATATTCTGATAAGTAGCTTCAAAGTCCGTTCTCGTGTTGTGATCCAGAGAGTCGAAAAAGGAGTTTATGTAGCTTCTTGCGGATTCCAGCATCCCCTCAACTGATCTATCGTCACCGGAACTCCTCTGAGAGAATTTCGTCCTGCCTGAGTGCTTAAGAGCTTGTTTACCTCTTCTAGAAGATGTATTTTGATAATTACTTGAGACAGACTTCTTCTGCTGTTTACTGTCCAGTTGATCAATGAAATTCATCAAATTTTTGATGTTATTCTCACTAGTATTTAGACGTCTTGTGAATGGTTCTTTGCTCTTTACATTGGATAGTTCGGTGAAAGTCTCCCAAAGAACATCCAAATCTGCTGAATTGATCACTTCGAAGCTTTTAACAGTCAACACGGACTTCTTATCGACATCCAGGAATTCTTCACATTCCCTTATCGTTTCAATAGTCACTCGATCCTTTTTCACAATCTCAACGTCAATGTTCTTCGGATCGACGCCTGTCAACCAACCATCCACGCATATCCTGATGATCTTTGTCAATTCCTTTATTTGTGACCCACAAAATTTCTTGCATTTCTCATCGCGAATAAGACACCCAAGAGTCCGGGCTATTTCGACCAGTACGGAAGTTTGAGGGTTTTCCTCCTCTATACTGAGCAACTCTCTCTTAATGTTCAATATCTCAGAAAATGTGGAAAGTTGCTCATCGTCAGAGATTTTCGTTTCTTCAGAATCATTCTTCACAGAAATCTTGAGTAATTGATTGTTTATCTCTTCAGATTTCGACCCTGAAAGCATTGCAATTAATCTATTAACTAGTTAATCGATTAAATTTAATAACAGAGCTCTTTACCTAGAGAATAAATCGTAAGACACTCAACGATTGAGGAAATTATCTCTTCCGTCATGTTCTTGATTTTACCTTCATCTTCTACGTGATCACCGGATCTCCTCTGAGCAAACATATCGTAGTTGAATTTTGCTTTCTCACCAAAGAACCACTCTTTAGATGATTGTGAGGGTTTATCTTCAAAAGATCCTGGCCCAGACGATTGATCATGACTCTTAGTCTCTTCTTTAACCACTGTGATTGACTTCGGCATAATCAATTCTTCTCTAGCAGTGAACATCGCATCGGTTTTACTTGTGCTCGCAGAAATTGGATGAGTGGTTTGACTTTGGCGCTCAGTATTCGTATAAAAAGTCCTGTCTGAGTTCACAAAGGTGATACTCTCATCAAAGATTGATTCTTCATTCTCTTCTGGTACATTTTGCAAAATATTAATTTTATCCTCAATTTCTGCTGCAGAATTATTCATCTTTCGTTCTTCTTCGTAATTCGTGGAATTTTGCACAGTGATCTCAGTGGAAAGGAAAGTGTTGCAATCTTTCTCTGCAGTCTCATTAATCACGTCATTAATATTTTGTGCCTCTTTGCACACACTTTCTTCATTATCATGGAATGATTGTAAAATTTTCTGGCCTGATGGGCACCGCTGTTGTTCAACACCACGTAAATCTTGCATTGGCTTTGAACTTCCGACTTCTGGAATTTCCCTCAATTCACGTGTTTTCTTTTCCCCACTTCCGACCCCCGATGATCTTGTCGTGGCGGGCATGGTTGCCGGAAATAGTGCCCTGAAGTATGATACATCACTTTCGGACTTTGAAATGATCTTCCTCTTTAAATTAGTCAAGTTGCTCATAACGCTTGAAATGCGAGAAGTGTTCGACCTCACTGAACTCTTGTGACTTGAAGCAATTAAGCTCTCACTGTCCACCTGTTCAATCTCCCCCTCACTTTCACCTTTGACTTTGGAGAGATCAATTTGGGTCACTTCCTGAACGTCACTCTGCGTGACTTCTTCCTTTACAATCCCTTCAAGAGTGTTCGAAATCGCGGTAGCCCTCGAATTTCTCTCTGGTGAAACACAATGGAAATTGTAAAATTTTCTCCCATTCAACAATCCAGAAGAATTACCTGAACCTTGACCTGAACTCTTCGTATCTTTGCGTTGAGTGTAATAAGGGACGCCAAAGGATATGAAGTCACTGGGAGGGACCAGGACTTGGAAGACTTGACTAGGAACTTGGGTGATCTTGTCCAGTACTTTCATACTCACATCTTCAGTCTTTGACGGGGACTTTCCTCGTTCGGCATCGTCCAGCAATGAGTCCGCCAAGCGCTTCACACCTTTGCACACGTCAACAACTTGAGGATTGGCACCCATACAATTCTTGCAGCCCTGAAATGCACAAAATCCAATTACCGATTGCCAAAGGTCACGGACAAATCATGCGTGCGCTCACCTCGAAATTCTTAATAGAGTTTTGCAGCTCGAAAGTCGCCTTCTTCAGAGGTTTCGGATCACCGAGGCATATCCTCTTGCTCGTGCTCAACTCCTGAGCCAAGGTGGGTGGACTGCCGTGCTTGATGACCTGCTGCAAATTGCTCACTTGGATTTGCTTCGCGCGCAGTTCCTGCGACAGACTCTTAATCGTATCATCGTCCGAGGACTTCACCTTTCGCATCTCCCTCAGCCTCGTCTCCAGTGTCGACACCTCCTCGTGCAGCTCATGATTGGTCACCTTCACGTGCTCCAACTCCTTGTTCGCCTTCGCCATTTCGGCCTTCAAACTGGACGAGTTGGTCTTGTGCATCTCCTCGAGGGACTTGAGAACCTGCTGAGATTGATTGAGATCATCCTCGAGTGTCTTCACTTTGCTGCGCTCTTTCTCCAGCACCGTCGCCGCTGGGCCCTCAAGATAGGTCCTGAGACTCTGGCAGTCCTCCTTCAGGCTGTTGTACTCCTCCACGAGACTCGTGTACTTCTTCAGCAGCTCCTTGTTCTCGCGGTTGAGCTTGCAAATTTGGCTTTTGAGATTGTACTCGCTGTCCTCCATCTGACCCATCCTCTCTTGAGCATACTGAGAGTCCTTGATTATGCGCTCCTCCAGCTGACCAATCTTCACCTTCATGTTCTGCTCATTGTGCTCCATTTGCTGCAGTCGATCCTTGTAGTCCTTCTCCATCTGCGCCCACAAGTTGTCCGCATTCTCCAGGGTCTCATTGTAGGCCAGTTTCAGTTCATCGATGCCCTTCTCCAAATCCTTCACCCTATTCGTCAGTTCACAAACTTTCTGACGAAGTTCCTTCTCAGTAGTGCTCTCTGTGGATGCACTGCTGACTGAAATGCCATCACTGGAAATCTTTGGGGTGGGAATCTCACCGCTGGGCAGTCCTTGCCTCAACTGATACTCATGATAGAGCAGCAGAACCGGCATGGCGTTCTTAATCTTGTCCATTGTGCAACTGAGATCATTTTTGCTGGTCTCAACGTCATCCAGCCTCATCTGATACTCCTCTATTTGCTCCTCCATGGACACCACCTGCCTCTTTGTGTCTTTCAGCTTTGACTGGAGCGCTTCACGTGACATTTCCAGCTCAATATTCCGCTGATTCAGGATCTCAAAGTCCACTTCAAGCCTCTGCAGTCGGAGTCGAGTGTCGTTTTCCGCCTCTTCAAATTCACACCGCTCTTCGTCGAGAATCCTGTTCTCCTTCTCAAGCTCCTCGAGCTTTCCCGAGAGCTGCTTCACCAGGGATTCCAAGTGAATCTCACGCTGGAGTCTCTCAGCCAAACGCCTCACCTGGAGATCTCCGCTACTCTCGTACACCAGAATCTTGTTCTCCAGCAGCTCCAGACGATCCTTGTAGTACTGCAGGCGTCTCTGTTCCGGCGACAGGAGGTTCACGACACTGGCCTTCTTCGCTGTCACGCACTCCTCTATGCGCTCCCTGAATTTGTTTAGCTTCTGAATCTCAGCCGTCAAGTCGCCACTTCTGGGCTCGAACAGGGGGAAATCTTCAGGGCAGGTCTGAGTGGCTTGGGTGACCACAGCGTCAGTGTCAAACACTCCACTCTCCTGGAGATTGCTGGTGGACAAATGCTTCCGCTTGAGGCTGGCCTCTTGGGTATTTGGTGTGGGTGTGTAGCGGGGCTTGATGGGCTCCTCGCAATCCAAGCCGCTGCTGTAGGGCTGCACAGTGGCGACAATGCGTGCTTGATTCTTCAATCGGTTGGGCGTTTCTTCGGACAAGGTACTGTAATTTTCTGATGATCCACTTCGCCGGGACTGCGAGAAAAGTTAAGGTAGTTATTTTGCGAAATTTTTGCAACTGAACAATTTCCGGTGAGAACAAAGTTTAAAGTTTCAACACTCACTTGATTGATTTCCAGGCTGAGAAATTCCCCGGTGATCTCCTGATCCTGCGACAAGGCCTCCAAATTGTTGAGGAGGGAGAGTATCTGCAGCAAGCAGAGCTTGTCGTCGTCATCATAGCAGGACCTCTTTGTCATGGCGATAATCCGCTTTCTGACATCATCATTGGGAATGCTGTCGATCATCTAATTGAATATTTCGCGAACATGGAGATTAGAATGGGAGACAATTCACGGGAAACCGGAAGGCTTACAGATAAATCACATGGTGATGGTAAACTGGTTCGATCGTCGAGCTGATGATGACTGTGCGGCGATGTGACCCCGGAATCCGATCGTTCAGACATCATGAGAAGATCGTCGTGCTCCTTCTCCGTATCCGTCCACACATCCCGCGTGTCTGGAGTTGAATTGCTTCTGAGTGACCACTGAAAGACAGAGCAAGGCAATTTGGTCAGCGTCGGACGAGCTGAAGAGAAGGTCTGAGAGATCAAGAGCCCCACATTTACCACCTCAACAATGAGTCTCATTTGAAAATGCAATTACACCTTTCACTCTCGCCATGAAGTTTATTTAGCATAAACACGGCGAGATATAAAAAGTATGGCCAGCAATTGACCGTGATGATGTGTCTCTTGGAGGAAAAATATTAAAAAGTGTATCTACACTCTTTTTAATTTCTTCACAGAGAAATTTCATAAACACACATTTCTGTAGCGATCATGCATTTTATATGAGAGTGAAAATTCTTGCTCTCTTTCCCTTCGTTTTCTTACATATTATGACAGCCAAATCACGATCAGCTTTACAAGGAGATATTACTCTTTTGTGTTTATTTATTCAGAAGATTTCCAAACATGTTTTTTTTTTCAACAATTTCACTCCGCCAATTGAACAGATCGCCAATGTAAAATGATCTGGAGACGAAAAATATGCCCATATCTAGTGAAATGCATGAGGAACAAAAGCTCCTGTATCATGCCTGAAATAGTGCCTCACACTTTATCTACCGCCGAGAGAGTGATCATAAGTGAATTGTGCCAACATCTGTGGCCAGAAGCTGCGAGACACTCATTCACAGTACCTTATGCCGTGCACTTTTGTCCATTTCAGACCGTGCCTTAGATAGAGAGCACCTGGAAAGTAAGTCTTTGTCGCCATCCACCCGCCTTCCTTGGATTTCTCGGCATTAAATTTTATTGTGTTGGATAAATCACGGCAGAGATCTCCCTTCCCTCCGTCAAAGGTGATTTAGAGAATGAGATTCTCAACTGTTCTACCTGGCTTCATAAACATAATGGCACAAGTAGAGGATTCTCTGGGCGGATTGTCTTACTGGGCTGGCAAGAGTAACCCATTTCAATGGGATTTCTTTCACCACACTAACTGTAAAAGTCGCATCAATTAATGCAGCAGAATTGCACTAAATTTCTTCGTAATGAGATTAATTATCTTATTAATTCGGTGAATTTATTCCCAGTGCCAACAATTACCCTATTTTGACTTTAATGAGCATCGGCCGTGATTAATTTTCAGGTGTGATGAAGAGAACTGCGAATTCGTCGGTTAATGCTATTCACAACGGAACTTTTGGTTAAAATTTCATTCCGAAACCAAAATTGTACACATTCCGTACAGTCTCATTAAAGCCGTATCTCTTGATTAATTTTTTAACACTTTTCCCACCCAATTTGGCTCTTGCGCGCGGAGAGAAAATCCCATCGTAGTCGAGAGGGAGGTTGAATGAAAAATTCATTGGCTTTAATTAACGGTCACATTGGACGGACTTTCGGCTTACATCCTCTTGATTTTCATTGGAATTTTTCCACATGACTGCGGTGACCAATCCAACTGGCAACTTTGCACTTTTCCTCGCCTCTTCCTACATCGCATACACACACCACACTCTTCCGGGGAAAACTCTCTCACTCGGGCCACCAAAATCGCCTCTGTCCTCGCCCAGGAGCCACAGAACAGCGCTAAGCTTACTCACGCTTGGCTATTTTATTCTATTGTCTCTCTATTAGTCACAAATTGTCTAACTCTTTGGGCTGATTTTCCCTCCAAAATTGGCTGCGCACATTAAGCCGCAATTTTTGCCTCTGTCACGTTCCAAAGTCACTGGAAGACTAATGTGGTGTTCGCGACTCCCGCACTGAATCAAAAGCATGGAGTCTCGCAGGCTGTTTGCCATTTCTTTCTTTCATTGTGCCTCACTCGCCAAGTTTACAAAACAATCCAATACACACGCGGTGAGCTTTCTTGGACTCAAATACCCATACAAGCATTTCATTCGGGCAAAGGGTTATTCAGCAAAAAGCCAAATCGCACAAGATTAAGAAAGAAAATGGTAAAATCATTGCTGAATGTGGAATAATTTTTTTAATAAACTCGACATTTATGTTGTTAATTTTATATTTCAAACATAAAAGTTGTCTGAAAAATGTTTTGCATTATAGTGACATTTTCAACCACTGCTCAATTTCCTTCCCTATGCGTAAAAACTAATGGCAAATGATGTGAATAGTGTTGTGGTGCGCATGGAAACATTGTAAGAAAATAATCGCATAAATCACGAGCCTTGGTGTTCACATTGTTCCATGGATGGTTGTGTAATGGCGAATTAACGCTGCAGTCGTTAACAGCAATAATAAGAGCTCGTAGAGTTTTCTAAATGTTTGTTCATTGAGATTGAGACACACACTGCTGTGACAATTTGCTTCTATTCTTGGCCATTCCGCGAGACCGCCCAAGGGGAGGAGAGACAGTGTATGCAATTGGAAATTTATGCCAAGAGTCATCCGCCAATTTACCTTGGGATGAAAAGTAATAGAGAAGAAAGTCCGACTGACAAAGAGACTCCTATACCGTGTCATGACTATATCGCTTGATGCCACGACAAAAGTATCTTCTCAGCATATAAAGCCCGTAAATTGGATATGTAGGACATTTTGGTACTGCCGAAGAGATAATAACACCATCCATTCATTCTAGCCTGCGTCTCTTGGGCTCATATTTTGCCTCGCCAACCGCAATTGTCTAACTCGCGCCCCAAACAGTCACAAGACGCCAAATAAATAGGTTGACCATTGTTCAATGAACCAAAAGAACCACTCATAGAAGAGAAGCCCATGGGAAAATTGCTGCAGACCAGCGCGCGATGTCTGCTGAAGTGAGTATTTCGCGATGCATATCAATGTCCCGCATGAAAAGAAGCATATAATCTTCAACAATGAGGACAATGAAACACTCTTGGCGCCACACTCGGATACAATTTTTCTCTTCCCACAATTCCCAGATAAGAGTGCCGAAACATTGTCAGAAATTAATGTATCAAAATCACTTTAATTTAGATTCTCATCAAGATGAGGCGTTTTCTCACCTTAAATCACACATTGGAGAGCGTTTCAAATTGACCCCTAAACCTCAAATGCCATCCGAAGTACAGAAAAACTATACCTAACAAAAGGCTTTATCAGCCTTATTGAGAATGCAATATTCAAACTGTATGATCTTGAAAATTGTAATTTATTGCTATTTATTACTGTGTCTCTTGTAAATTGGAAATCATTCACTTGTGCAAAGAAACTGTGGAAATAGTTTAGAATAATTAATTGTGACTAAACATGAAATCTCATATCCAAACATGCAATGACCGTTCCTTAATTTTCGCAAAACTCTGTCCACGCCACAGAATTAATTCGCTCAACGAAATTTTCTCAATTTCTGCACAAAAACTCACACCCGAAACATTGCTCATGGGAAGATTGAAGCGCGTATGAAGAAATACTTCAGACTCTCAATGAGCGTCTTTTGAAACACTGACCTTCGCCAATTGCCATGAATCGGGAGAAAAATTATAGAAATTAGTCGCAATAAATCACTCATAGGTGTGTCTCCAATTAACCATGTTTTCTCTATTCTCAAAAAAAGTGTTTTTCCAATTAATTTTCTTCGGCAGATAAAATTGAAATCAAAGCATAAATACTGAAATCACGCATTGACTCCTCGAGTCGCAGTCACTGGTTGTAAATTGTTGTGTTAATAGAGTTGTTCTTAACTGCGAAAAGTGTCCCATAAGCATATTTCATCCCATGATATCAAGCGATAGAGAATTCAGCTGTGGAATTTCTCTCTAACAACCCATTAAGATTGTAAGGATTTTTTCACTCTGGCGATGGTGTCTGGAGGAAAATTATGATTCACTTAAATTGCCATACTTGCTAATTGACTCGACCATTCATAATTGTGCGAAGGTTACTCTTGCACACCTCATTCTCAAGTTTCTTTGGCTGAGGGAATTGTTGGCGGCACTTTAGCATTTCAGATGTGAGATCTACAATGGTTAGGTCAATCACGACTTTTTACAGATCTGACACATTTTCAATGACGAAAGGAACAAATTTATCATATTGTTGGCCACTTTCTATGCCCACTCGGTGCGATCTCTGCGTATGAGCTTAAGCCACTGCTTGGGGATCATGTATTAATCAATTTTCACACGTGCATGGCGCGATTTTGTGTTAAGCCGGTGTGTTGGAAAGTGGATTTTCAATTATGAATTTTGCCATCTTTCACTATCCACGGGTAATTATTGGGTATGGAATGGAAATGATAAAGATCAACCCAGAGAAAATGTCAACAGAGGCAACTTTTCATAATTTCTAGCAAATGAGCGGACTTCTCTGTGCAATCGAGCTTAATTGTAGATGCTCCTCAGATATCTCAAGTGCTGCTGGAATGCCAAGAAGTGCAGCAATTGAAAACATCTTGGAATGTCCATCGCGGTTACTTTCAATTCTGAGGTGTTCTACTCGACATTCATGCCATTCTTCTGGTCAATGATCAGAAAAAGTTGCCGCGTGAAATACTGTCGCGCTAATCCTCCACAAATGGGACACTATCGCCTAGAGATTTTTCTGTGAAACCGCAGGAGTGAAATCGTTTGAAAAATGTAGTTTCTAAGAATATTTTAAGCGCGGTCTGAGCACTACATATTCCGGAGAGATTAAGTATCTTCTGAAATTGCCACCATCGACGATGGTGAGTCATTTTCGCCGTGCCACTCCAGCTAATTGCACTCAGACACGAATAAATATAATTTATTAATCATAACGATTGCCTTCAATTGACCATTTTCGCATGAAAACACTAAAAGCACACCTGTATAGCGTCAAAAGTGCGGCGGCGGTGCTGTGAGAACAAAAACCCGCCACGAATCTTACGCCAAGTGATCACTGAAAGGAACTCCCAATGGACTAGCGAGTAAAGTAACAATTTTCAGAGATAAAATTGCGAAATGTGGTCAATGTTTGATATGCAGAAAAAAAACGATCCTGGGCTGAAAGGCGCCAAATGTTCCAGAACTTTGCTTATTGTTTTCTGACGATCATTTCCATATAAGAATGCATTGTGATTGAGTGGTTGGCCGCTGAACTGTGGCCCGCGAGAGCGCTTGAAATCAAGGATATGGCATATTATCGATCAGCTGTCACTTTCGAAATCGTTTCATTCATAAATATTTCCTTGAATTGCGAACCGGACCACAGTTTTGCGATCGTGATCGCGCACACGCTCGTGTGTCTCAAATAGCCGAGACACACTCGCCCAGGCGACTGTGGAACGCAAGTGTGGAAGGTATAAGATCGCGAGGTCGAAGAAAGTGCAGTAAAAGGGAAGGAAGAAAAAGAATATTAATTTCTCTTTTACCTTGTCGTGACTTTCCTCCAATTCAACAATCCTAAACTCCAGCAGTTCATTTTGCTCTTTTAGCTCGTACGTCTCTTTGCTCAGTTCTGACTCCTTCTGCTCCAGAAGCCTTATCTTCTCGATCAGGTGCTGTGTACGATCGCCACTTTGCGTCTGAAACAGAGTGAAATTTTCACATTTTAGTACTTTCGGAGAAATTGGATTAATCTCTGTGTGGTTGCACTTGAGTTGAGTGCCAGAAATTACCACCAAAAGCGCCTTCTCCAGCTCCCGAATCTTCTCACGTGCCGCACACAGTTGTACATTCAGGGCATCATTCTCTCGCTGTAGGTAGTCAATTTCCTTCTGCAAACTGCCATGGCACACGACTTCCTTTGTATTGTACTGCAATGAGCGGGACAAAAAGGCAAATTAATCTTTCTCTCAGGCTTTTCGCTTAATCCGTATAAATGACTATCCAATTAATGTAATTGCAATTTTGCGCGGCGAATCAACAACTCCTTCGACAATATCGTCAACCACGGCTTTGCCGAGATGATGGTGTACAAAAGAGAAATAATGAAAGTATTGAGGAAGGTCTCTATTACGTCGAGGGGAAAATGTCAACGATAAGGACAAACATCTCTTGAATAAGATGTGATTCAATGTGTATCTATTGGCCAACTATTCAATTTATTTTTTGACAATTTCCCAAAAAAATAATATCTTAAGCCATTCACATTATTAGCAATTTCGCCGTGTATGAATTAGAAAAAAAACTCTAGAATTTGTCTATTGTGAAACCTTCAGATGACCGCTGGATGACAATATCTGTGAATATTCACAGGGCATCAGCAGTTAATAATTTGAATTTTATTTGCAGTGTTCTTCTTGAAGGTGCGTCGCAAAAAGTTCCCTGACAAATTTTCTCTTTTATTGAGTGGGAAAAATGTACAATTACTCGGAATTTGCCATCTCGCAATGAAAGTAAGAGACGCTTATGAACACGCAGAGAGACATTCCTGCCTCCAAGAGGAGCATCAAGAGGGCAATCGTCTCTGGGTAAAGATCAAATGACGGAGTTTTCTCAGGCAATGATCTCAGGTGAGCGCTCGTGGATCGAGGATTAGAGCATGTGGAGGTACACACATTGACTCCAATAAATCATAATCAATCTTACCGTTTGCCACACATCCGGAGGTGAGTTGGGCTGTGGACTTAGAGACGGTGGCGCCGAGGAGAGTGCTGAATCATTGTCTGATCCCGCGGGGTCCTGGAAGAGAAACAACAGCCATAAGTGAGGCATTGTGCTCAATACAGAGTATCAATGTTCGAACAATCAATCACTCATGATGAATTCCAATGCAAATTGCACACCGCATATCTCGATATGGAAGCATATATTTGTTAAAAATTTCAGACATCACACGGCTATTAATTGATTAACTTTGACTGCGTTCTCACCTTATTCCTATACATGTGAAGTTCATTGTGAGCTTCCAAAATTCGTGTAGGCATTTCGTGTGGCTGCGCGACACGGGAAGACGTTGAGAGAATATGAAAAGAAGAGAGGAGGAAAAAATTATTTTGAATATGTTTTGACCCTATTTTCATTCATTCAATCATGCACAACAATTCTTTCATTAGATACGCGAATAACTGAGCAACAAACCATTGAAACGAATTCATTTCCACCACACGTCGTCATTTTAGTAGAATTTGTATTGCTACTGCTTCGCTCAGGTTCCTTCAGTTTTCGCATCTGCAAAGAGGAGAAATACGGTGGTTATTCGGGTGGTTTGTCCACTTGATGCTCATGCTCAGCTGTTGCACAACAGCTGGTTAATCATATTTGGATTTTTTCACACGTAAATTGCTATTTAACCATCGATTGCACTCGCAATGATGAGAGTATTGAACTTTTCCAGGTGTTTTGTGAAATCTTTCGCGAAACTCTTTTTTTTTCTTTCTAAGAAAGAGAGTATTGAACGGATTTCAGTTCAAGAGATAGTGATCATCAATGTTGGAGGTGTTTTTGTACATGATCAATCGAGAGCGCAAATACCAGTTGAGGAAGTGATTCGTGCTGCAGAAATTTCATTTAAAATGTTCCATGGGAAAATTGACAAGCATTATGTATTTCAATTTACTGAACAAAGATAAATGGCAGCACGCCATTGAGTTTAGAGTCATTTGCTCTAAATTTTCATTTCCCAAGTGTATTTCTCCAAATGACCGATACTAATTGAAATTATCTCCTAATGTGTTCTAACTGATCTATCCGGGCGTTAATCTTTTCGCCTCGCCACACAACTTTGCCTCTCGCAATAGGTAAATCCAGGATTTCTCCTCTCATCGGGTGACACTTTCATAATCACACCAGTGTGATTGGATTTAGAGATGGTAAGCACATTACACGGCCACAATCGCTCATTTAGGCTTGAGCCATTCTTGCAAAATTGTTTATCAAGCCAGCATTCAGCTTGTATACTTTCTCAAATCGAACACCCATTACGTCTCATTATATTTGTCTTTATAATTTTAATCTCGTCCAAGCAAATAATCTCTCGTCTCCATGTCATAGTCAGCAATTATCCCATTACGTGACCGTTGGTAATGAGGGGGGAATTATCTTATGGCCGCGGAAGTGTCAACTCTTTATGCGGTAATTTGAGCGTAAAAAAGCAGATCATATATAGCATAGACGTGATGAGGGAAGTGATGATTTGGGGAAAGGGGGCGATGTAATTGGATGAGGCAGGTGAATTTGCATAAATTTTTCATAGACTCTACACATGCATCGTATGCATCAGCGGCAGGAGGAAATGGTGCTCCAGCAGCGAGTGAATTACCATAAAACCCAATATTTACAATTGCGTACAGCTAAACGGAAATTTCGCAAATTCCTACTAACTTCAATTTTCCCAGGCATTCTGGCACTAAATAATATTTAAAACATGGTGCGAATACTGGTTGAAGTGCATTTTGCCCAGGAAACCTGTGGCACACAATGTGAAGTGGTGTATTGAAATAAAAAAATAAATTGGCTGAACTTCCAGTGGAGAACCATGCCTATTAGTTGTGTTTATTTTTGCACAAGACACTCAATCATTCGTGTACTTTCCTTTCAGGGGCTTTTGTGCGCCGCGACTCTTGCTTTTCAGACACTGTGTGTGTATATCGAAAACGCTTCAAATGCCGCTCAAAACATTCACTTTGTGTCTCAATATGGTGATACACGGCCACAGAGAACCTCCAAACCATTTCACTCAAGTCATTCATTTTCATCCTCACTCTATCACCGGATCAGCCGCCTTATTGTATGAATTTCCGAGTCATAATGCAAAAATTCCCATTTACAAAAATCATCCTCCTATCGAGATTGATGGTAATCTCGGGACATCGTTAAATATTTGTATATTTTTATGAATCGACTTTGGTCGATCTCGAGTCGGATAGGAAGTGACTGGGGAGAGCCTTTCAAAGCCATCTCGATCGAGATTGTTCGCATAAATGAAGGGAAATGAAAGCTTTTCAATTGTGATGCCAAAATACAGCCTCAGTCCATCAAGCGCAATCAAATTTTTCTGGATAAAACATTATGGGAAATTCATGTACGCATTTCCAGCAAACAGTGAAAGTCTACTGCATCACAAGAAACCCATTAATTGCCTGATCAGACAAGAAGCTTCATTATTGCCCAAGAACCAATTGAATGCGAAGAACAATCGTATGAAAGGAAAGTGAAGAGCTCATGAATCAATACTGAAATTGCAGAACAGGGGCAAAAATGCCGATGAGGCAAAATCGCATAAATGACTCCTCCATTCAATTACTTTAGCCATTTGGCTAAGTCAATTGCCGAGAAGCCATCAGACCACTTACTTTCCCACAGGCGTGAACAAGAACGCGCGGTTGCATTTGAGTGACGGACGGAGGCAAAATGAGTCATTTGCTGAGTGCAATAGCACATTTAAAGTCAGTTAAGCACAATTAATATTAATCTATACGGTATTGTGGTGCAAAAACAATCTACTCGTCGTGCTGCAGCCACTTTGCATCACCGCAAAATCTCCGGCAAAGCGGTGAGTAGTCAAGTTCATTGTGCGTTCACTTCTTAGGTGGTGTTTTTTGCCCTACGTGATCGCCAGTCATCATCCCATTTTGAGTAGCAAAACGCAACAGAAAATAGAAAGTTCATCTCACAATATTGTATTAATTAATTGGTCATTCAATAAATTTATCATCCAATTTATACAATTGATATGGGAGAAAAATTACTCGTGCACCAGGTGATTGTCTCACAAAATGCTCTGCTGATTAGCTTGATGGCTCTTTTTGCTCCACAACACTTTTTTGCACACACAGCGTGTATTACGTGAAATCAATTCAACTCCTCCGACAAACAACATATCGAGTGGAGAAATGAAAATTAATGGCATGGTTTGTAGGAGGGCAAAAAAAGTATAACTTCGCCTGTATATCAAATGTCACAATTGAAGACCTTTTTCTTATCCTCATGGTAATTTATGGTGATCCGGAGTGAAGACATGCCACGGGAAAAAAGGTAGCAAAATTCATATATTCATAAGGTGTATACTTTCTTTTCGCGTCCAAATAGAGTCCATGAACGTGGTTCAATCAACTCTCTTATCCGGTGCCCATGAGAACATTTACGCAACACCATGCCTCGTGTATTTCTCTATTAACACTTTCAGCAGGCAGACTTTGGTGCCCGGCATGTGGCAAACTTAATTGCCTTTTATATGATCTGTGGGAAAAAAGTCCGCCGACGAGAAAAATGCACCAAAAGACATAAAAGAGCAACACCATGCTTGCTCCTTCAGCGACCACTTGCCGCCAATGATTGTGGGCGGACAGGGTGAAATGTTGACGGCGCACAGAGTGTCAGAAAGAGAGTAGAAATTGTAGGAAAGTTTAGGTGATTTTTTCAGAAATCAATTGTACATTTCAATAGAAGAATCCGGCTGTTCATTACCATAAAACATCACGGGGTGAACGTTCTTTGTTGTGCATTTCTTTTTCGAATTCAACAATATTTGCATAAAACCTTCGATTGGTGCTCAACTGAAACAGCCATGTTCCAGATACCAATTTCACTCTACATACACTTCACTTCAGCTATTGAACTCATATAGTAATTATCTCAGAGTTATTTTCCGCTCTTTGTAAATATTATAAAAGATCTCATTTTATTGTTCACATATGACCAAATTTTGTACTCCGCACAATTTTTCGGCAAAACTCCTAAGAAAGTCTCTCTGTAGCGGATCAATTTCCAGGCAATAGAGGTGCTCTATTTCTTTTGAGATTAGTGTTTCGGCGGAGAAAAGCATAAAAAATAAATTTTACATCTGTTTTCAATTAACAAATTTCTGGTGACCTCTTTTGGCGTTTTTGTATTATTTTATTTAAAATGCACATTCCCATAAAAATACCAGAGCACACTTTTCATACTTCAAAGAGTTGTTGTTAGATGTTGTGAATTTAACTCCAGAACACTGTTTCTGCCCGATTCCACTACTGAATTAAATTAGGAACGTATAATAGTCGTCACGATGTAAAACTACTTTGATACCGGGAATAAATTAAAAGAAGACACATGTTGTGCACTTTTATCGCATTTGGGGCGAGTTAATTGCAATAAAAGAAAATTGTATTATCTTGAACGAGTTTACCCAGTGCACCGTCGCACTTCAACTCAATATTTCACGTGATGTGAAAAGTGTGCATCCTAATGCAAAACACCATGAGTGCCGTGAAAGCGTTCTTTGTGGTGAACACGCCTCTATTAATCTATTTCCTCTCATTCAACATCGCGCAATGTTGGAGGCGAGTGTGTCTTCTGGGCGCGAGCCACAGCATTACTATGTCACCATGCGACACCATTCATCCTCGATCTACACATCGGATACCAATTCAAGTCCACTTTATCAAAATCGAATCCATAATTGCCTCCAATATATTGCCTCGGCGTTGGAGAAAGTATGGTGCGCCGCACATCACTTCAGAAATCTCTATGGCAGTTTCTGTGCCCAGCAAGTGTTCTCATCTTGGAAATATCACCGCGTTTGGGAGTCACGGCGGCACTGTGTAGGCTGGCCATGTTTTCCTCATAGCCCAACGGACAGGTGAAGATTTATGGAAATTTTGCCGATACTGCCAACTACCCGAATACAGGAAGTTGACCGGAACAAATTCAATAAATTATCAAATAACACCTCGGGAGAAAATTCAGGCAATGCACACGGCGTGGAGAATTATTCAAATTTCAGTGAAGCATTTTAATAAATTGAGGCAATTCCTTGCATTTCAGCTGCCAACGTGGGTTTAGTCATAAATTCCTCCCTTTTTCCACTTCTTCTTCGTCCCCAGTCAATTAAAATTACATCACGCTCATTTTAGAATATTAACCTTCGGCATGACGAAAAAATTAAGAATGACCGAGAGACAGTTTAATGATCTTTAATATTACTATAACACATTGTTGTGATGTAATGACACGAGCCATGGAAATTTTTCGGTCAGCCTGCAATTTTCTCTTCAAGATGAATTAACGCACTCTGAAAAATTTCAATTAAAGTTGCACCATTGAAAAAGTGTGTGTGTGTGTGTTTTGGCTAGTAAAAAGTAAGTTGAAATTCCACGTCTATTTTGAATTCCATACAAATGATGCAAAAATATGTATGAGGCAGTGGCACAAAATGTTTCAATTGTATTGTTCACGGGGCTTTATATTGT